AATGGTCATCTCCGTAAGGTTGAGAATCCTTATGTTTTCCACATATTGTACTAAATATTTTAACCAAAATATTCTAAATTTTTATTAGTTCTCATTGAGTATAAAAAAAAATACCTAGATCTAACCCTAAATTTTTTTATTCAATTAATTTGTCAGTGATCTAGTTGGGCAATACCCTAATAATATAGTTTATATATCTAAAATGAATTGATTTTCGTGAGATAATATTTATGATAATGATCCTTGATTATAGGAGGAATTTTAGTAGGATATGATATCTAGAATGAAAATTTGTTTTGATCAACTTAATACCCAATGCATAAATCAGCATAAGTCCGATTAAACTCGAACACTACAATAATAATTATACAAATATAAACATGTGTTTCTCTATTAATAATAAGAAAACTTGGAAAGTGAAGTATTATATAACTTGGTATAAAGGAGTTATATATGAATACATTTAGATATGAAAATGTATTAAACATGTATCATAGGTATGAAAATGTTTGAAAGATAGGTGTATGACAAGTTAACATTACCATAAAAAAAATATATGAATTTCAAAGGGCTTGGTATAACATACAGAATGAAAATGATACTAATGTAATATGTTTAAATGGTTATTATAAAAGTCTAATTAATCTAAGCCATTATAAGTTTTATTGTTTTTATAAAAAAAATTATAATAATGAATAAACTCATTAGTTTGGATAATTATCAATTTAGGATTTATTGAATTGAGTTTTGATGAACGTTGGAAAAAGAGAGAGGTCTACAAGTAAATACATTTTTGGGCTCAAGTTCGTATAAAAGAAAAGGAGAATAATGAGAATAATAACAATAGAAAAGTCTCTTTAAATTATTTGTAAACATAAAGTGGTTTTATTTATAGGTTTTTTACCAAAGTATTTTAAATAGTAAACTATATCTATTTAATGTTGATGAGTAATCAAGTAGATTAATTATGTATTATTACCATATTATATATTGATATAGGAAATATTTTCGTAATATAATAAATGTCATAAATTTGGAAATCTAGATATGTAAATAAAAGCCTCATGAAAAGTTTAACTTTAGTGTAGACGAATTAGTTTATTAACGAAATCTCATCTATAGAATTTTATTTGAATTTTAATTATTTTGATCTCTATTACAAGTATCAAGTTGATTCAACAACTATAAGTTTTTCTTAACAATTGTACAATTCATACTAACAATTTATAAAATATCATTAAAGTCGACGTGAGTTTAATTTACAATGATTGATGTGTACTCGATTCTATGAGCTAAGTGTGCTTAATTTAAAATTATGCCTGAAATATTTTTAATTTAGAGTTATTACCCAACTATTTGAAGTATAACATATCTTTTATGTAAACAAGGGTGGTCAAATTTATGTAGATATATGATTTTTTTATAATAACATGAAACTTAATTATTGTTGTATATTTTGTGACTTGGTGATACTAAGAGTTATGACGTATTATTTTAACGACATGCTCAAATGACGTTTTGAAATAATTGTTATGTCATATAATGACATGCTCGGATAATTGTATAACTTAAATGAATATATATCATATAAAATCTAACTCGATGATTTGAATATATAAGCAAGATGAATATAACTCGAATAAAATCTAATTCAATTTTAATGTATATTGACACATTATGATAACAACGTCCAATAATGACGTATTATGATAGCTATGTTTAATAATGATGTGTTATGATCGTTATATTTAATGTGTTAAAATAATATTGTAGGAGTTTTATTATCTTCACCTTGTTTAACTTTGAGTTAAAATAATATTTGACGAGTTTCCTTACCTTTGTCATGTTTAGCTTGAAGTTAAATTTATAATTTGTGAGTTTCATTATTTTTGTTATGTTTAGCTCAAAGATAATAATATTTGATGAATTTCATTACTTCTATCATGTTTACCTTGAAACTAAATTTATAATTGATGAGTTTCATTACTTCTGTCATGTTTAACTTAAGGCTAAAATAATATCTATGAAACCTCTACCATGTTCAGCTTGGGGTTAAAGTAATATTTGACGAACTTCATTACCTATATCATATTTAGCTCGAGGCTAAATATAATAATAAATGTTTTTGTAAGCTACAATGACTACACCTTTTTACATTAACTTTGTGTTAGGAGAATGTTTTTTTTACAATGTATGAATTTACTTTTATGACATGGTTAGTGACACACTTATATATTTGAAGATCATTTTCTTAAATAACACTCTTGTAGCTTATTTGTCCTATTTTGTAAGAAATTAATTCTATGAATCATGAATGAATTTTCCTTATTGGTGTGGTTAATGACCACCTTTTATATTTTTTAGGATTAATAACTCTTCTAACTTATATGCTGAATTTTGTAAGTAGTTAATTATAGGACCATCCAATTTATGACAAATTTTTATTTTCTTTATACTTAGTGGACTTCTCGTGCATTCATGTAAAGAGTCAAATGTAACAAATATTAAAATTATATCAATATTAAAATCATAACATTTGGTCTATTTTCATTTCTTTAAAATCACGTCACTTAATTTTGTTAATAAATGATATATAACATAAGGATTATATTTGAATTTGTAATATTAATATCCCATGATGACAAATTGATAATAATTTGTGATGTTTAAGATATGTAACATATAATATTGTTATGAAATTTAATAATACAATCATTAGTAATATTGTTTATCATAAAAAATGAATATTTTCTTAATAAATATATCTTTTTATATGTATCTTGAGAAAATTGAGAGTCAATATATCTTATATTTATGTGATTTATTGTATATGATGTATAATAATATTATTATTATTATATGAGTATTTTAAAAAATTATTTAAACTAAGATATATTACATTATGATTTAAAAGAAAGTATTTATGATATAATGTTTCATATAACATTATGACACAACATAATAATGAGTTGTAAGATAATACATCTTATTTTTAAATCACAAAATTTGCATGAGTAATTAAATAAAAAAGAAAAATTTATTCCTTTAATAGTAAATAATATACAAACATGTTTTTGAAGACTTTTATGAAAATAAAATTTTATAATTTTTTAAAGTTTAAAAACATAAAAAATATCATGTTTTCTCAATTGTTAGATTTTAACTTAAATCAAATGTGATATACAACTTACTTTATATCTTCTTTTCATAAAGACCAAGACAAATGATATGACCTTAACTGAAATATATTTATTATAATAGGTGAAACAAAAATATTCTAGTTCCACAACAAAAAAATATATTACAATAAATAAAACCTCTCAAAGTGTTATATTTTGAAGTATATTAGAATTACAAGTATGTAATCATATTTACAACAATTTAAAAAAATTTAGACTAGTTTTATTATGATAAAAAAAATTGAACTTTTTCCTTTGGATCAATATACGCGTCAATTTTCAATTGCATGCAAATATCATATAAATAAACTTAAAAATATATTTTTTAAATACTCATTCGAGAAATGATATGAATCATTTTTCACATTTTCCTCCTCTAAATTATTCACACTTAAATTTAGCGTGACTTACCAAATATTTTATATAATATAAGTTCTCTCGTTGTTTTGTAGGATATCTTTGAAAAGATAATAGTTTTGCCAAACAAATATCATATATAGTAAAAAAAATTATTTGGCAAATAGATAAAGTATTAAAAGGTTTAAGAAAAAAATAACTAAAACATAATCAAATAAAATTCAAATATTTTTTTTTAGTAATTTGGATTTTGTCATAAATATATTTTTGTATAGATAATAAATTTAGATGACCTTTTTAGGATCAAATATCATATTATTAATTTTGGATAATTTATAATTGTAACTGATATACATACCTATGAAAATCTTTTTTTTTAATTTTGATATTTATATCTTATTTCTATCATCATAACATATTTTTAAAAGAGTATTAAAAAGTTTATTGTGATTGAATAAAAGATAAAATTATTTTCTTTCTGTACAGAAAAATCTCATTTTCTCTTATTAAAAATTTCAAATAATTTAAGATATAAAAATTTGTTATCGATCTATAGTTAATTTAAAAATATGAATTGAAATATATATATTTATTTTTTAATAAAAACTATTATTCTTTTACTTATAGAAAATTGATAGGATGATTTAAAAAAAAATCAAAGCCCTTACTCAATTTATATGAGTAGGACAATTTTTACCTATCTATGATGGGTGCCAAATATTTTTATAAAAAAATTACAATAATAAATAAACTCAAACAAATTGGTCTAAATCATTTTGAGATTTATTAGATGAATTCTTTTGAACGTTTGAAAAAAAAAATCCACTACAAACACACTTTAATACTTAAGTTAGTATATATAAAAAAATAAATGAGAAATAAATGATTTATAAATAATAGAATCATTCTAAATAATAAATTATATATAATTGAGTAATAAAGTAAATCAATTCTATATAATCAATTAAATTATACATTATATACATTAATATATAGAATATTTTAATTATGTAATAAATATAGTAAATTTTGAAATATAGACCTACACATATCTCAATAATTTATATAGTAAATATCATTAATTTAAAAATACGATAGAAATATAAGAAAAATAAGTCATGTAATACAAAGGTGGAGTTGGGTTTATATTTTAACCATGATCTCTTTTTTTTTTTCTCATTCTCCCTCCTTTAAAAAAATTATTAAAATTATTTTAAACGAATTTTTTTTTAAATTTAAATCATATACAAATTAATTTTAATTTTTAATTTGATATATAAATTTTAATCTATATATATATATATAAAATAAACAATATGATTTTTAATTTTTTAAAATTATTGCTATTACTTAAAAAAAAAGTTAAGTTATAAACTTATTGTCCAAATCTAAATCCATTTCAACCATGAAGTAAATAGACAGGGTCAAATTCCGCCACCTTAATTTAGATGATTATTTTTCCATTCATATCAAACCGAACCTGTTATCGTGAGTGAGGTGTGGGAGTGACGTCATCGCAAAGAATCCCCACCGCTCGGCTATAACTGAGAACGGAGCCACGTAACCGCCCGGTTCCCAATCCCGAACCGCCACGTCACAGAAAAATGCCCAGTTTCTTTCGCGGCTTTCACACTTCACACGCCCCACAGCAGCAGCCTTGTTTTTAAAAGTAGAAAACCTAAAAAAAAATTGGATTCAAAGTGAAGTGCCCCCTGTCCTACTTCACTTTTTCTCTCTCCTTGGTCCTTGGAGTGAGTCCCTGTTCTTGTTTCAGTGTCTGTCCTTAATCTCTTCCACCCTCTCACGCATTTATTATCACTAACCCTTCCTCCTCCACCAACCATAACCCCTCCCTCTCTGCTCGTTTCCTCTCTTCATACTGTACATAAAACATGGATGATGAATATGCTAAGCTTATAAGAAGGATGAATCCGCCAAGGTAACTAACTCACTACTTTCATTTCACGCCTGTCTTCTCTTTAATGTTTCTTCTTCTCCTTGCTTTTTTCTTTTTGTTTCCGGTTTTTGGAGCTGTTTTTTTATTTTTTGCTTTTCAGCACCAGACCTTTCCAATTTCGCATCCCTTGTTTTTCTTTTGTTTTGTGGTTTATGGAAGTTTTAATTAACTGGGTATAAAATTAAACCTACTTTTTGCAGTTTGGTGTTTTCAGTTTTCAACTGCTGGTACGGAAGTTCCTTGCTTGATTCTTTTCTTCACTGTTCAGTTTATAAGCCATGGAACAATTAACATGTTTCAAAACTGTTTTTTTTTTTTAAACAAAAGAAGATTGTATTTGGTATACTTTTTTAATTTTTTTTAATTGTGGAATTTTTACTAACATGTATTCATCTTGGCCGTTTTTAGTATTTTTTTTTCTGGTGGTTTGATGTGGTAATCGTTATTTTCATGTTTGAATTCCTGTGTGTATATATTCTGTCTATAATATTGGCGTTGTATTTTACTAACTAGCTTTTTGATATGCAGGGTTGTGATCGACAACAATGCCTGTGAAAACGCCACTGTTATTCAGGTAACGCTGGTGGCTTCTCTTTGATTAGGCTTCACAAAATTGAGTTGACAATAAGAAAGATTCGTCCTTTTTTTCTTCTTCTTTCAGTTTTCTAATGATTTGATGTTATAAAGCTTGTGTTTCCTCTGTTTTGGTTTACAAAATTGAGTTGACAACCGAAAAGATTCTTCCTTTTTTTTGGTTCAAATTTTGTAATGATTAGATTATATAGAATCCTTTTTTTTTTAATATAAAAAAAATGTTTCGGAGTTAACTTCTTTTTTTGGAAAAAAGAAATGGCTATCCACTTTTTTATTATCTAAGTATTTTTACAGGTTGACAGTGTCAACAAACATGGGATTCTCCTGGATGTTGTCCAAGTTATTTCAGATATGAACCTTGTAATAACAAAGGCCTACATCTCCTCTGATGGGGTATGGTTCATGGATGGTAAGTTTCCCCTTCTTCATCAGTGGCAAGCTATAAGGGAAAAAAAAAAGACTAAGAGTAGTGATTATTATTACTTTTGTCAACTTTGCTTCTGATCCTAGTGTTAATTTTGATGTTTTTCAGTGTTTAATGTGATTGATCACAATGGAAACAAAATCAGAGATAAGGAAGTCATTGATTATATTCAGAGGGTAGGGATCTGTCTGCTTGAATTTCTTAAAAAGCTTTAATTATGGCTTATTAATGTTTTTCCATCTATATGGTAGGTTCTACTCCTCCTTTCTCTCTTATTCCTGTTTGCTAGAAATCCTTAGGTTAAGGAAGCAGGACACTTGTGTTAGAACCAAGTATGCTAAGTTGAATTTGGTTCTTTATACTGCGAACTTCAGCTTCCTTTTACCCTCATTTTCTGCTTGCTGATTGCTCTACCTAGCAATGAACTGTTTTACCAAAGTAAATGGAGGGAGAGCGAGCTCTACTTCGATTGTTGTTCTTTTTTATTTCAATGATTATTTATTTTAGTCATTAAAATTCTGCTGGTTCCAGTATTCGTCCAGCTACGATTATAATACATTCTAGATCCATTAGGTGGACATACCCTTGGAAGTGCCTGTGCTGAAAGATGATAGATAAACTTGTGTTATTACTGTTATACTGATTTATTTAATTGTATAGTGAACATAGGATGATGTAAAGCAACATAAAATTTGTGGGTCTTTCTTCAAGTGATCTGTGATTCTCGTCATGCTAATAATGTAGTTCTTTTGATGATAGATGATGGTCAATAAGGCTTGTGACTTTGTGATTTCTTTCTGATTTTTTTTTCTTTCCTTTTTAATTTTGTAGAGAATTGAAAACAATCCGAGCTTTGCACCCTCACTGAGAGAGTCTGTTGGAGTTGTACCTACTGAAGAACACACTGTAATTGAACTCACTGGGACGGACCGTCCTGGGTTACTATCTGAAATCTGTGCAGTTCTCACGGACCTTCACTGTAATGTGGTGACTGCTGAGATATGGACACACAATACTAGAGCTGCAGCTGTAGTTCATGTGACAGATGATTCCAGTGGCTGTGCCATCAAGGATCCGTCTCGCCTCTCTACAATAAGGGATTTGCTTTCTAATGTTCTTAGGGGGAGTAATGATCCAAAGACAGCAAGGACAACACTTTCACCTCCTGGAGTTACAAATAGGGATAGAAGATTGCATCAGATTATGTTTGCTGATAGGGACTATGAGAGGATTGAAAGAGCAGGACGAGGGGGACTCAGAGATAGAGATAAACGTCCTCTCCCTCATGTAACCGTTGTAGATTGTGTTGAGAAGGATTACACTGTGGTTACCATGAGAGCAAAAGATCGACCGAAGTTATTGTTTGACATTGTTTGCACTTTAACTGACATGCAGTATGTAGTATTTCATGGGGTTGTCAAGACATCACGGACAGAAGCTTTTCAGGTTAGCAATCTTTTTGTTCTTTGTGTTCTTTACTTTATGGTTTAACCTTTCTTGCTTTGTATGCTGTACTTGTTATGGTAGCTAAACTCAAATATTAAAGTTTTTGGTTTCAATTGTTATGAGTTAAACTCAATAGGAGGGTTTAACTTAAATATTAGTTTATTAGAGTTTCATGACTTTAAGTATCACGTTTAGTTTCGTATCCTACTTAATGTGAGACTCATAATAATGTTTTGATCAGTTGAACTATATCCATTCTATATGATAGCAAAATCCAATTAGTTCATCAGACCTATACTTGAGTTTCATATGGTCAGCATGGACTGGTATGAGCCCATTTTCTGCATGAATTTTTCTGACTGAGCATTTTCTCCCTCTTCTAGGAGTTTTATATTCGGCATGTTGATGGCTTTCCCATTAGTTTAGAGGCTGAGCGCGAACGATTAGTGCAGTGTCTTGAAGCAGCAATTGAAAGGCGAGCATCTGAGGTGTGATAACAATCCACAGCTTGGAGCTCTATTTCTCACTCCTTTTGTCAATGGAATGATGATAAGGTATGTTTGTATGCAGGGAATGGAGCTTGAGTTGTGCACAGAAGATCGTGTAGGACTCCTCTCAGATATCACAAGAATATTTCGAGAGAACAGTTTGTGTATCAAAAGAGCAGAAATATCAACAGAAGAAGGAAAGGCAAGAGATACTTTTTATGTCACAGATGTTACTGGTAACCCAGTTGACCCCAAGATTATAGATTCAATTCGCAGACAGATTGGTGACAAAGTACTGAACGTAAAACATAACTCTAGTCTCTCACCAAAGGCCCCTCAACCCACAACAATTGGATTTCTCTTAGGAAACTTTTTCAAAGCTCGATCTTTTCAGAATTTTAAGCTGATCAGATCTTATTCTTGAGTCCCCATTTTTACATTCTTAGCATTTTCATTGTGTTACTCTCAGGTCAAACAGAAATTTATGTATGCATGTTAAAGAGATTGTATATATCAATGTTCTTCCCCAGCAGAGAGGCTTGGAATTTACACTGTACAGTAGAAAGCTTAAACACATCCATGTACGTAGCTTAGTGTAAATTGTTGTTCTCATTAGCATGTTAAATAGGGTTGAATATGAAACAAGTAGTCCTTTTAGGATATCTAGTCCAAAAGAGTATATAGTGGTTTTAGGGGGTGTGATTTGGAGTTGATGCAAAGTTGGGTTTGTACATGGTAAGAGTACATTTTGGTGGTGTAATTTGGAGTAGATGTAAACTTGGGTATGTACATAAAATTAAATGGAAAAGATGTAATTATGTGTATAATTGTATGTTGTGTACTTTCCTTTTTCTCTGTCCAGACATCTTGTGCAGTACTTATGGCTATTTTGCATGGATGTGGATCAAATGGTTGACTACTTAGTATTTTGTTTTATTTTATGTTAAACATAAAAGGGTCACTAAAACCTCTTCTTCTGATTTGCTAGAACATAAATAAATATTAGAAATGAAAGATAAAATAAAAGGTGTAAAAAGTGAAAGGTGTAAATGCTTGATTTTAAAAAAAATGTAGTTTTTAATTAATTATATGTTTGTCCTTAAATTATTTTTTAGCTTCGACGGGTGTAGGAAAAAAAATATGGTAATGGGGCATATGCATAAGAAAAAAGCGACCCACATAAATTGTTATCGTATTTCTACATATCCCAGCTTAGTTAAAGAAAATTTTCATGGACCAAAAAGTCAAACGAAATTTTTGAAACTAAAAACAAAATATAATATATTTATGAAGTAAAAACATATTTAAATTGGTAGTAATTTAAATAAAAAAAATGTGCTCTTATTATTTATATTTTTAGATAAGCAAAATAAAAATCTATTTTTTATGGAAAAAGATAAATATACACTCTCATCTCCATAAATATTATATTATCAAAATAAATATTTAATTTAAAAATAAAAAATTGACAGAATTGGGTGAAATTGAAAGCAGTGAATCAAAGTCCTTCTTCATATTACGTATCATCACCTCTTCTTCTCTCACTGTTTCTTCACTTCATTTCCGATTTTCATGCTATCTCATTTATCTGTAGGTAACTATCTCACAAATGATTTTCATTTCATTGCCCAGTGCCCACACACTCTTGTTAACCTATAATGTTTCTGTTGATTCTCCTGTTCAGGTTATAAATAATTTAGCTTCCACTTAGTAGTTAAGGTTCCTCGTGCTCCTGCCTTCTACATTCTACATGTGAAGCTAGCATTCATAAAAATTGTTTATTTGAGGTTAGAAGTAGGGGATTCATTGGTATTAGTCAAATTCATTATCATTATTGATGGGAATGTTTATGTGGGTAGGAAGGAGGAAGGATAAATTGGGGGGATGAGTGTGAGAGTGATGAGGGGTGGAGCAGCAGCATTTGATTTGGCAATTGGCTTAAGCAAGGCTGTGATCTCAGCCTCAAACAAGAAGGGAAGGCAATGTTTGTGGGGTTCTCAAGTGGAGGAGACACTCCACAGGTTGGGATGGCGCCAATGCCTGACCCCATCACTGGTGGCCAATGTCATAGACCCTTTCCTCCTCGCTCACCATTCCCTTGCTCTTGGCTTCTTTAATTGGGCCTCTCAGCAGCCTGGCTTTGCCCACACACCCTTCACCTTCCACTCACTCCTCAAATCACTCTCACACACCAACCACTTCACTGCCATTCATTCACTCCTCAAACAAGCCAAGGCCCTCAACTTTCCCATCCATCCTTCCCTTTGGAGCTCCATTATAGCATCCCATGTTGCCCACAACCGTGCTCGGCAAGCCTTTTCGCTCTTTGGTAGTTTTGCTCCACTTTGTGCTGAAATTGGAGGGCCCACGTGTAACTCGCTCTTGGCTGCCCTTGCCTCTGATGGGTGCTTGGAAAGTGCCTGCCAGGTGTTTGATGAAATGAATAAGAGGGGTGTTGGTTTCAGCACGCTGGGATTCGGGGTGTTTGTTTGGCGGGTTTGTAGAGAGGGTGATTTGGAGAGGGTGGTGAGCTTGATGGGTGAGGTCAGGGAATGTGGTTCTGAAATTAATGGCTCTGTTGTGGCAGTTTTGATTGTGCATGGGTTGTGTCGGGCTTCTAAGGTATCAGAGGCTTCGTGGATGTTGGATGAACTCAGGAGTAGGGGATGGAAACCTGATTTCATGGCTTACTGGGTTGTTGCAGCAGTGTTCCGGTCAATGGGAAATGTGGCTGATGAGGTGAAGGTTTTGAAGATGAAGAGGAAGTTAGGGGTGGCTCCTAGAAGCAGTGATTATAGGGACTTGATACTTGGCTTGCTTTCGGAGAGGCGGATTTGTGAAGGAAAAGAAGTTGGGGAGGTTATAGTTGGTGGTAATTTTCCGGTTGAAGATGATGTTCTCAATGCATTGATAGGATCCGTATCAAGTGTTGATCCTGGTGCGGCGATTATGTTTTTCAATTTCATGGTTGAGAAACAGAGGTTCCCAACTATTTTGACCATCAGTGATTTGAGTAGGAATCTGTGTAGGCATGGCAAAGTCGATGAATTGTTGGAGGTGTTCCACGTTTTGGATTCTCAAAACTACTTCAAAGATGTGGAGGGTTTCAATGTAATGGTGTCATTTTTGTGCAAGGCTGGGAAAGTTAGAGAAGGCTATACTGTTCTGCAGGAGATGAAGAAGAAAGGGTTTCGCCCCAATGTCTCTTCATATAATTACATAATGGAAGCATGTTGTAAGGAGGATCTACTGCGTCCTGCAAGGAAGCTCTGGGATGAGATGTTTTCGAGTGGCTGTTGCGGGAACTTGAAAACATACAACATTCTTATACAAAAATTTTCTGAGGTGGGACAAGCTGAAGAAGCTCAAATGCTCTTTTACCACATGTTAGACAAGGGGGTGGAACCTGATGTTAGAAGTTACAGTTTTCTTCTAGAAGGGCTCTGCCAAGAAGACAAGCTTGAAGCCGCTTTTGAGCTCTACAACAAGTCTGTCAAACAGGACATCATCCATGCAGTAGACATATTGAAGTCGTTTATATTATCACTCTGCAGGAAAGGTATTGTTCACTCGATCAAATATTTGTAACTTAATGTACTGCAAATGCTGCCTCATATCACAATTTAACATATTATGCTGTATGTTTTTCATGCAGGACATTTTATGGCTGCATCCAAATTACTTTGCAGTCTCAATCATGACATAGGATGTGCAGAATCCCATGTAATTTTGTTGAAAAGTTTGTCAGATGCACAAGAGATTCTAATAGCCATTGAGCACTTGAAGTGGGTTCAGGAAAAATCACCTTCGATACTACAAGATATATGTACTGGACTTTTGGATTCTCTTTCTTCTGCCACACGCCCAGAGCCAATGTTACAATTTCTTCAAAGAATACAAAATGTGTTTGATTTCCCATACTTTGAAGGATGTGTGTGACAGATGATTACAATTTAGAGGTTATCATATCAGTTTTGGGTGCCATTGGTTAGGTGCACATGCATCTTAGTAACAAAACCTTTATAGCGTCGGTGTGTTAAGATAGGAACTTTTGAGAGAGTATTATTTTTTAGTAGATTCAGGAATTTGAAATTCTTTCTTGCTCCTGGATGTGGACGCTCCTCTTGTACTTCTTGGATGGTGCTTTATTTCAGCTCGAAGGCAAATGTACATCGACATATTTTTGGAATTCAAGTTAATCATAGCAAGGATAAAGGTTTCTCTTCTCTCTCTGTCTTTTTTTTTTTTTTTTTTTTTTTTTTTCAAAACTATGTAAGCGTACTGTTTATAAGCTTCAACCCTTGTTCTCCTAACTCTATTTGCGAGGCAGCCTTCAAAGCATAGTAGTAATGTTCCATTTCAGCTTGCTGCTCATATGGTTGTCCTGGGATGATTTGCAAATAAAAATATTGTAATTTTCAATTGAAAACAAAATAGACTGAGACATGTGACATTGTTGATAGTGATGGATATGCAAAAATTAAGAAATATTGTTACAGAAAGGAAATATGATCAATATTGGAAGAGAAGAATAATGTTATTTTTGTCAACATTATAGTTTTAAAATCTTGAAAACAATATTGATACCTATTATCTAGTGTTTTGAACCACATAAACCTTAACAAATTGACTAAGTCATATAAATCTCAATATTTTAAAATAACAAAAGAAAATGAAAGCAATGAGGGGGAGATTGATGGAAATGTTTCTACATTCTCAAGAGATGATTTTGATGATGATTCAAGTCAGCTACATTCAAGTCAACACCATTCAAGATGAATTTAAGCACAAACTGAATTTATGACGTAGGTGATAAAGATGATGATTCAAGTAAGCCCAAGATGATTCCTGAAGACTAGATAGAGTCTTAGAATACTTGGATATGGATGTACAAGTTGATGAAGTAATATTATGTATAAGTCTCCAAAGCACAAGTGTGATAAAATTCATAACATGATATTTTTCATTGTCATAATTAATTATGATGCACAGAAATGGAAAAATGATTTTCTCTATCATAATTAATTATATTGGTAATATAATCAATTATGACAATTCAAATTTGAAAAATATATCTGTTTTAAAGAATAAATGTTTTTTAATACATCATGATTTTCTCTATGATATTATTAATGTTCAATGGCCATTTTCTGATGCTATTTTTCTATTTAATTAAGTTTTGATGAAAAATAAAAAAACACACAATTATAGAATTCGAAAATACAATTTATATTCAATCAATTTTGAGAAAAGAATTATGAGCAAAGGAAACAAAGATCTTTTATACCTTTTGAGAAAACCCTCTTCTATACTGCCTTATGTGCTTTCATTGTTAATCACACTTGTTCTTGGAGATTGACATTCTACAAACTTCTACAATTTGTTGTCTCCATTACCCAGGTGTGTCTGTTCTTATTTTTATTACCTTCATCCTTTTTGCATTGGTGGAAAATGAGGTTCTTTTCATTCCTAGTGTGATTCTAAGGAGGTGTTCATCCTTAGTGAGTTTCTAAGGAGGTGATTGTCTTTTTAATTAGTTTACTTTTTACTGGTTCTTCTGCTGAGTTGATTGTAATTTGTAAACTGAATTTGAAAGATAGTGAATGGGGAGTCACTCTTGTGTTAAGAGTTGACTGGGAACTGGATGTAGGGTTGGTTATACCCGAACCAGTATAAATCTCTATGTGCTCTTCTCTTTCCCTTATCTCTTTCTCCTTTCCTGATTATAGTATTGCTTCCGCTTTAACAAATTATTAACTGACAAATAAATTTTTAATTTGACATCTATTTTAATTTGTACATCTATTCACCCCCCTCTAGATGTCATTTGTCTAATAGAAAACACATGTAGACTCTTAAAAAAACCGTTAACACTACTCATTAAGGTTAAACACCATGTTTTTCTTTGAAAAATTCAAACTTGTTGGTTGGCTAGGTTTTGTAAGTACAACCCTCAACTGCTTAGGCAAAATTTATTTCTCCATCTTTTTTTAGCTATCTTGAGTAGAAAAGTTTGATATTAAAATGTTTGGTCTTACCATAAAGCTTAAGATTGTGAGAGATGACAAATACAACTTAATTATTCACAAATATTTGAATACATGTAGTTATTTTGTTCCATATGTAAATCAACCAAAATTTTATAAGAAAATATGTCATCAAACTAAAATCATTCATTTCAAAATCTTGTATCATTTCTGGTTTAAATTTACTAGTAAGCTTTATACTACTATTACTAATTAAAAGGTCATCCACACAAAGAGAAACAACAAGAATCTCCTTGTTATTGTGCCTAAAATAAAGTGTAGATATTGAAATGCTTCTTTTAAAGGAAAGCTTAGCCATAAAGGACATTAAATAATTGATAAATTTTGTTTTCTTTACCTTTCACCATATTACCTCTTGGTTGCTCAATAAAAAAAATTCTTGTTCAAGTATCTCGTTAAGAAAACATGTTAGGTAATTAACACCGAAAATTTGTGTATATTTACTTTGTAAATACAAGCCTCACTTTATGCTTGTTAATTAAAAATCAACAATTAATTTAGTTTTAAATACATATTTCACCCTAATTACATTTATATAATGTGGTTTATCAACAAACTCTCATGTTTTGTTCTTTTCAATCATAAATAACTTCTCATTCATTGCATTATTCCATTTGAAGTATTTGAAAAATTGTTCATGATCAAATGGTTCAAATATTATAGCATTGCATCTCTACTATATTTGTGAAAACAATCAAATGCATTTAAGGGGTGGATCATCCCTTTGATCTAGCCATGAGCATGTCTTTGGAAATGTGATCTTTATGTATTTCTAGTTTATTCTAGATTTTCCATTAAATTCACTTCTTTGTAAATTTCTATAGTTTCAATTTTAGGTTGAAAATTAAAACCATTCTAATCAATCCAATTTCGACATTTTTGTCTAACTTATCTCAATAAAAACATGTAAAACATAAGTAAAAACAATCAACCACTTTAAGAAAATATATTTTAGGCTTCTAGTCATTTCATGTTTCAAAAAAATTAGTTTTCACTATCTTTGTAAAAATCTATTTTGTAAGAATATAGTTGTATTTGTTGTCTTTGTCCAGATACTTGTTCCTTTTATGTAAAATTGATTGAATTTTTTTTTGTTCCTAGTTTTTACCTTAAACAAATATTGACCTACAACGTCCTTGATCAATATAAAATTGTCTTTGAAAAATATCTTAAAGTATTTTTCTAATAGTTGGCCGATAGTTAACCAATTCTGGTTTAGGTTGGTTACATATAATACATCAAATATTATTTTAGTTTCTGAAAGTGTAGTAATGATAATGACTCTATTCCTTTTACTAGAATATAATATCTATGACCTATCTTGACTTTTGAAATTTTAGAAGGTTTAAGTTCTTCGTCATGAGTTATGTGATTGGTATATCCACTATCATGTAGCCAATATTCACTTGAGATATTGCTTAAAATTTAGGTAGCAACAAAAGGTTGATATATTTTGCAATTCTAACATCTTCTTATTGTTGGGTTTGGTTCTTGTGAATGATTTCATGTCCAATTTTATTTCACTTGATAAACTTAGTATCAGGTCTTCTCTGATAGTTGAACGAAGGATGATCTATCTATTGCAATACTTGCAAAGAGAATACTTTCCTTTTGAGTTTCTTTCTTTTTTTTTTTAATTGTTGAAAGAACTTTCTCTATTAATTTGTTGTTTATTCATTTCTTATTTTTTATATCTCACATCATCCTCATGTTTGTTTAGAACTGCTTCCTTAACAAATTTTTCCTTGCATATAGCCCTGCATTCTTCTTGTGTCAATAAAGAATTCAATAATTGTGCCCAATTGATCTTGACACATCCTTGGTATTTTCTTGTGGAGTTATGGTAGTCTCAAATATTTCAGGTACAATAACCATAATTTTTCAACAAAACAAGATTCATTAAATGCAAAACTAATTGCTCTATTTTCTTTGCTTAGAAAGAAACCTTTGAAAGTACTTTCTAATGGTTTTTTATTTCTTCATCTTCTCCGATTCAAAAACACTAATAAGATTTATAACTTATGCCTTTAATTTGACCATATTTGTCATACTCATCTTTCATATAATCCCAAATGGATTTAGTTGACTTTAGAGACATTATTTAAGTTAAATTATTGGTGATATTATCATAAAAATGGTTGTCTTAAACCTCAACATTTTTTGGTATTCTTGTTCATTTGATTTTTTATTTGAGGCATTATTAGATTGCAAGGTAGTGTATGAACTTCCCAAATATTATAAATTTCACCATTGAAGATTGGTGGTGTTATTTCCTAAAGACTTGAATCCCCTTTTATGCTTTCAAATTTTACTCTTAGAGGTCCCTCAAGAATAAACTCTATAAATACCAATTTTAGTAATTATTATGTAAGAATTAGGAAGAATAGCAAGACAAAGAAAATTTGAAAAATATGGAAAGAGAAGAATGACGTTATTTTCATTAACAATATTACAATTTTAAACCTTAAAAGCACCATAACCACCCATTAACCTATGCTCCTATGACCGAGTCACATAAATCGTAACTTCTTGTAAAGTTAGTTCAAGAAAACCTCTTAATTGCTTTTATTCCCGCCTTTGATCTCTCGTTGAAGTTAGAAATTGAGTTTTTATGTTCATCCTCATTGAGTTTCGAATTTTCCTACCTCACCCATTTTTCATTCCATTCTATTTAAAATCAAATAATTATACATAAATTTTAATAAATTAATTTTATTATTACTTTTATATATTTTTTCTCATGTATAAATAAGTATTTATAATTTTACAACTTTTAAATTATTATTTTTAATTATATATATATATATATATAATTTATTATGTTTATATTAAAATATGTATGTATGAAAAATATTTTGATTTTTTTTCTTCGTATAGATGTAGAAAACTCATAACATTATTATTATTATTATTATTATTATTATTATATTCATACTTTGACAACATGTATAAGTTAAATACTATTTATATTTGTTATTTTAAAATATTAATAACTAATAAAGTCAAATTAAAAATAAAATATTTTATGTATTATTAAGATTGATGTACATAAAGAAACAAAAATTAACATGTATTTGTCAAACTTATCAAAAAGATTAAGAAAATGTGAAAGAGTAAAATATAAAAGAAAGAGAATTTTGTGTTGATCAAGTTGAAGAGATTAAGAAAGATAAAAGAGTGAGTGAGAGAAAAATGAAGAGTATAGAATAGAAAATAAACTACATTTTGTGGAATATAAGAAAAAAAGAGAGATATTTGAAAAAATGTTAATAATTTAAGGTTTAGGTTTAAATATAAAATTGGGACTGAGGCAAGGACAAAGCAAAAATTGCATTATATAGCTCTGCCCCCAATTTTTTAAAGAGGAAAAAAATTGAAACTTAAACTCGTACTCAGGAAACTTCAATCTTTGTTCGTCAACCTCAAGGTATGGTGGATCGGTCTTCAGAGTTGTGAATGTAATTACCATCCATAATTGTTATTTCTTGACTTAAGACACTATTTTCAAATATCTCACAATTTTAAGTCAAAAGATACATTTAAAATTTGTTTTGTATATAGCTTATTTTTTAATAAAAAAATTTGTTCCACTCTTTTAAGTGGTACAGGTGTGTTTACCTTGGACTTCAAACCAATATGTCATCAAAGAAAATCAAGACAGTTTTGTCAAATAAATAAAAAAATCTCCCATCAAAGTGACAGGGGTATTAGCCAAAAGGATATGAGTAATTATTCATAGAGTCCTGTTAGGTTTTAAAGGAAATTTTGTACCTGTCCTTGATATTGACATGGATTTGGTGATGACCTAGACCTTTAATCCAATTAAGAATGTGTTGTATGAAGTTTATCAATAAGTTCATCAATAAATTCTTCTACTATTGGAATAAAAAAACAATAATTAAGTGTTACGTGTATTCAAAGCCTTATAAGTTGGATAAAATCTGCATGTTCCATCTTTCTTTTTAACAAGAATTATGGGTAATAAGATAGTTAAGTATATCTATAATCATACTTTTTAATGTATTATTTTTAACTATGAAGTACTTATAAGGTCTTACTTTAACTAGAGTAGTAAGAAGAATATTATTGTTTTGAGTCCTTAGAAGCGGTACGAGGAATATTATTTTGTTTGATATTGTAGATGGTTATATAATCTTCATCCACATTATTTGAAATAATTACAAATGAAATATAAGTTTGGAAAGTATATAACTTGCCACTGTTTTGTTTTCTTCCTAAAATTAGATTGAACATGTTATATCATATTTTATTATGATTTGTATAGTTGTCAAATAATTTAATTTCTTTTATATTCAAATTAGTTGTATATATTTATATGTAAGTATTAGTTATTTGTACCGTATTATAAATAAGTAATATTTTATTTTGTATTAGAAAATAATATACATTTCAGTTTGTATTTTTATGTTGCTATAGGAGCTAATATTTTTTTATCTTAAATCTGTTGAACATGGACAGAATGAATTTTGAGTCATATGAATTTTTTTTGTTTGTTTAATTTTAAAAATTTTAATATAAAAATCATGAAAGGAAAAAATTCTCTTATATTTATAATAAAATAAAATCGCCAACAACATTAAACACTAAATATAAAAAGTATATTATTTTGTGTTTTTATAATATCTTAAATTATAAAAATAAAAGTTATACTAAGAGACAATTATCTACAACTTTTATAAACACGTTATACCTTGAAACTATAATTTTGTTTTTTGAACGCACTAGATTACAAGATTTTATTATATTTTATTTATTTATTTTATTTATTCAATTATAATGGAATTTAGTTTTTTTTTTAATGTCCTTAGATTAACCTTACGGAGAATAATGATATAAGGATCGAGATTAAAGTCAATTTATTTGTTTTTCTTATTCATAATTAATATTTTTGCTTTATATTTGTGGTTTTCCTTTTAGTATGATTAAGTTATTACTTTAATATTTGGGATGGAGAATACTTATAATATATATTCCATGACTTCAATTTTATTGTTTTGCTTTTCATAAATATTTGAAGTCTTTTTTATTTTATTCTTATTTAATTAATTAGTATGAATTTGTTGGACCCTTTTTTGTACCTTTTAGATAAATTTTTTTAAATTACAGGAATCTAAATATAAAATCTAAACCATGAAAGTAGTTTTGGGATTTCCCAAGGAGGACCAATGAATTATTACGAAGTTTAATGAATTTTATTAAACATAATTACCAAAAGAAAAAAAAAAAATTAGGCACGATCTTTGTAACTTGGAAGGAAACCTAAACTGGAATATACTAATTCATTTTCAAATAATTGAATCTTAATTAATTTGATTTTATTGGTTATCATTGTTTTAATCTTAATTCTAGAAATACTCATGATACTAATTTTCCCCTTTCTTTATAGTATTTGTGATTTTTTTAAGTGTTTTTTTTTTTTGAAGAAATCCTAAAGGATATAATAAATCATTTTAAAAAATTGATTATTTCACTAAACAATTTATAAAAATGAATAAAAAATAAATAAAAAGGAAATGGGTGTTTTAAAATTTCTTAAAAATAATTTTTATTAGAACCAAATCAATTATAAATTATGTGACATAATAAATCAATATTTTATATATATTTTTATTATAAAAAATAACTAGTATAAATTGTTTTTAGTAGATATGTCATAAATAATGATAAATTTTTAATTTTAATAATATATATATATATATATATATATATATATATGTATGTATATATATATTCAATATTTTATTAATTGATAACCATTGTAAAGTTGGGATTGATCTTTCTATCAACGCTTCTAAGTTTTGAGAACATTTTTCAAGTTAGAAAGCCCAAAACAATTACCCAAACACTTTTTTTTTTTTTTGGAAACGACAATCAAATAAGTTCTACTTTTATAAATAGAATTAGAAGTTTTTTGAGATCAGATTAAAATTTAATTTAATTATAATTGAAGATGTTTAACCATAAACATTTTATTTTTAAATAAGAAAATTAAAAACTTAGAACAAGTTTTACCATTATAATAAGGATAGAAAAAGTTTAACATAAGTTGAATTAAGTCAAGTAAATAAACTCAACTAGTCCTTGGATTGAACATTTTCATCTCTCAATTTTAATATTCTCATGTCTCCAAATTTGAATACAGTATTCTCAACTCAATTTTCCATTAGTATTTTTCACCTCTGTAAACAAGCCTCTCCAAAATTCACTTTATAATAAGCTTACTGGAAATTCATCCAACTAACTCAGCCATAAAATTTTTGTAATGATGCGATAAACAAACCAATAACATGTTTTATGTTTGATTCAAAAAAAAAAAAAAAATTCATAGAAAGTGTACATTTTTATTTGAAGTAAGTTATTCATTGAAGAATAAGTGGTAAGAAAAATCAATTTCAAACAACAAAATGACAAAAGAAAAGTTTAGGTTGGAGTAGTTTATACCAAAACTTGATTCTAGTTTTAGTTTTTTTTTAATTAATTTTTTTAATCTTATAATCCCTTAAAAAAGTGTTGGTAACAACAAATCTTTCATATATAAAACATTTTTCTTAGTTATTATTGAGTAAAAATTAAACTAGCAATAATAGTAATATATTTGTTGTCATAATAATGCAATAATAGTGGATGATGATCCATTATAAGAGTATAATAATCTAGAGTCATTTGATTTCTTAACAAAGGAGTTGTATAATGGTGAGTTTTGGTGTCATAAATAAAGGGGAAGAAGTAGGAAGAAGAGATGCAATGGAGTTGGTGAGTCACGCAAAAGGGGAGATAGAATACTTGTACTGGATCCTCATTGATATAATATCTTCCTCTTCAAAACTTTAATTTTGCAAACAGGGGAGTGCAAATATCCTCTTGTCATCTATTTACCAGGCATTAGCAAGAAGGTCGAGCATAAATAACAATTACTTTTTAAAATTCATTTACCATTTCAACGCTCCTTATTTAAACAGAAATAATTGTTTTACATCCTACACAACCTAAAATAACACTAACTAGCCATAATCCAAAACGAACATAATAATTTATATTCTATTTAATGCCTCCAAAAGCTATGGGGAGTTATCTTTATTGCTTTATCTAAAATAAAACAACTTGCTCGCTATCTTTATTGGATAAGGCCGAAAAAGTCAAATAATTATAGATTATTATGGTCATCACTCATAGGCTACGGGATGCACCAAATAGAGTTTGCTTATCATTGGAAATAGGAACGTCCACCAGTCATAACTATTAAACTAAATTAAATTATAAATGTGATCCAAAATTACGTTCTTTCATTCTTGTTCATGCAATGACTAAGAGGGAAGATGATCCTCAACAGTTTATTTAAGAACGGCCGTGGTATCCAAGCCCTTGAAGCATAATTTGATAAGTTTGACATACAATGTGTAGATGATCTGACGAAAGGAGAATATCCAAATAGCCATACAATGTGGAAAAACAATAGTAAAACTAAAACCATATATGCATTCATGATATAAAATAATGGTATAAAATAGCTTCCGTTATCATCAAGTTATTATTAAACTTCATATCATTTTGAAACTTGATAACTTAAAAAACATTAATAATTCATACTCATTATTTTCATTTATGATAATCATACGTCAAAATAAAATAATAATTTCTTCTTATAAATGGTCTGATTACTAAACAAAGGACTATTTCTTCAGAACAAGTTAATTAATTACACACCATCTCAACCTTTTTATGCTAATACATTGACAAGTTTAATAATTTTAAATTAATTTAAAATATAATCTTACGAATCAATATCACACTGTATTGCATCATTAAACTTGTATATTTGATAATGAAATATGTAGGAAATGTGACAAGATTTAGTTGACTTTGTTTTCAAATGAAGAACTAAATATGAATTTAACTCTAACAAACGACGATGGATACAATTAATTCTCTTTCTTCTATTCTATCTATCCCCCACCCCCACCAAAATCGTAGAACCATCCACCATATGGTAACAAGCATAGCTTCCTCGTTTATATACACTCATCAGTGACTGATCGACTGACTCTGTACACACTCGTCGACGCTTTAAAATGTAAATCTATTACACCTATCGTAAAAAACAGATGTATTCAGATATTATAGCTATGCTCTAGCGGACTGTACACCATTCATCCTTCCCCCTCAAAAGACAAAAAACGAAAAAAAAAATGCAAAATTTTACACCTAATCTACAAGCAATTAACTATCAATCTTCAGGGCGTTGAATCTCACCCATCATGATCCGGTTACTGGAGACCTTGAAACCAAGAAGAGAAGGATCTATCTGTTTTCCTTTCTTCCCTTTCTTTTTCCCGCCTCGTGCTGCTTGTGCTGCATCAGATGGCTCGTTCCCAACTCCAGCGGATGCATGTGAGTCCACCACCACCTCAGAAAGAACGGGCTTTTTGAGCATGTCTATAAATGATGTCTCTGACACAGCACCTTCACTAAAGGAAGACGATCTAAACCTAACCTCCTTTTTCCCAGCAGCCTGACCATCTGTCATGCTACTCATTGACGAATTTGCAGATGGTTCTCGTCTCCCTGCCCATATATTGTATTTCAGACTGTTGAAATTTTTAAACGACGAGGTTAAAAGGGACTGTGAAAAAACCACATACCTTCACTAGATGTAAGACTTATTAAGTTATTTTGATTGACATGGGAAACGGATGGCTGGTCTGACTGTACATCAGGTGAAGATAAAACCCGAGATACATGGGGGCGCTTGTGAAAAGCATTATCAAACCCCTTTGTTGAAGGAGGTATCCTGTCAATGAAGACGATCAAACCTCTTTAATAATCATTTTTTCCAACAAAAGTCATTTATTTAATCAATTCGTTCATCTCATTTATGCATTACACATTAAGACTACTGCATGAACCATAGATACATCAAATTGCCATTCTTCTGCTACAAACTATCAATACAAAAATGTAGCCCCAACCCCTTCTTACCATTTTGGAATATTAATTACTTACATCAATTTTAGATAAAGTTAGCCAATGAATTTCTTCACAGTTGCTTCAAAAAGTGTATAGTAATTAATTATCTACAAACTAATTAAAAGCGAGGGCAAATTTTGCAGGTACAAAAGGTTCAGAACAAAAAGTTATGGGCTATCCAGACTACAACAACCTAATGCAAAGGTTACTGCTAAATGATATACATGAATTGACAAAAAAAGAAAATAAAAAACAATAAAGCACTATACAGAATTTGAATTCAACAAATGTGAAAGGAAAACCGCTAGCTAGCAACTATATTAAAATATTGAGAGAGATTTCGGGAACCCAGTTAACCATATTAATTTGGATATAAAAGAAAAGTTTGCAAAAAGAAGCTACCTGTCACCAGAAACCTCATCTCCACGTGAATTGTTCAAAACCATCTCTCGACCAAATGAGCCACCATCACCACCTGCAGAATCTCTTTTATTATTTTTCAACCATCATATACAAGAGCTTCAACAAAGGACAACAGTTATTCGGTATATTACCTGCACTGCTCAGTGAGCTATGTCTACTATGGGCAATTACTGGTAGTTCCATGGAATTCATGATGCTTTCCACTTGCCCTGACATGTCTGACATCCCAGGAACTAAATTGTTGATTGTGCTCATATATTCATGTCTCTGACCCTTATTTGCTTCTAACTCAAGTATGTCTTTTTCCATAGATGATTTACCAATCTGAAAAGGAATTCTGTAATTGGGATGTAAAGTTTCCATTTTCCCAGATAACACTGACTGTTCTTCAAGTAATGAACCAGATCTAGACCGAAGAGGCATTCTTTCATTGTTCCCTATATTGTTGAATTGGTCAGTGATATTCATGCTAGATAAATGATCATGGATTAAGGCACTGGAATTAGTACTTTGAGCCCTTTCTAAAAAATGGTCATTAATATGGACTTGCTGATGATCTGGCTGAAGCTCAAAAGGATGCATTATTGAACTAGCCTCAGGAACATTCCAAGATTTGTCACTTCTAGATGAAAGAGGATGCCATTTATCAAGAGTTGATGGTTGTGCAGATGGAACACCCAGTTTTTGATGAAGTAGGTCTATAAAACCTCTAGCTGAACTATCTTCATGAGAGCCAGCAGATGCAGACATGTTCAGATCTGCTGATGAAACAGTATCTCCTAACTCTCTTCGCTGCCTCACAGCTTCAAGATGTTGCTGTAGTTGCACCCGTGGATCAATCCAGCTATTTTCCACATGCCCATTGTTGCCATGGAGCGAACTCTTGAAAGCATCAGGGTGGTGACCAAAAAGATCATCAGATGGTTGTAGATGATGGGAGGATAAAGAACCCATTTGATCACCGGGATGTAAAAAGCGGCGTCGGTCGTGTAATTCCCTCCCTTGGGAAATAGGTGCAGACCTCTCAAACATCATAGGATTATCATAGAACCCTCTCTGGTTCTGCTCAGGAAGATTCCTCCCCAAATAATTTAATTGCTCCTCTTGTGTCACAAGCCTCTGCTGCTGTTTGTGAATATCTGAAACATTAAATCCTGCTGAATGACCCAGTTGATGGGTTCCAGGATTTCTAGCCAACTGTCCAGTTTCATTAATTGGCCATGACCTACCAAAATGCCTTTCTCCTTCTAATCCTAACTGCTGTCTAAGAGCCAAAGATAACTGCTGTGCCTGCAACTGATCTTGCTGGAAATGAAGATGTTGTTCAGAAGGTAATATATTACCGTGCCTTGCTTGCAACAAGAGGTCTGACAAATCAGCTTGCCTTCCTTGGGCAGCATTGAGACCCATATTTGCTTGGATAATCTGTTCCATTGATGGATCAAGGTGCCTTAAAGAATGTGAATTTTGCTGCAAGTCATGCATATATCTCCTCATTTGTACCTGATCTAACAGGTTATCCCTAGAAATATCATGTTTGGACTGCCCAAAACTGGGATCAGGGATCTGCTGCTGCATAAACTGTTCAAGAAGCAATTGTTGTACTTGAGACTGTTGCTGGGGTTGATGTTTCATTTGTTGAAGTAATTGTTGATGATGCATATCTTGCTGTTGCTGAAGCTCAAGCTGGCGTTGAATCTGAAGTTCCAGAATACGATCAAACTCTGATCCAGAATTCTGCATCATCTGCTGAAGGTTTGAGCTCTTGTTCTGAGAAAGCGCAAAACCTGGAAATCTCTCTAAATCTGACCCATTAAGATGAGCAGGGAAATGATTAGATATATTACTCTGCTGCTGAAGCCTTTCTTTCTGTAGCTTCTGCAACATTAGATGATCTGTCACATCAAAATTATTAAACTTTTGTCCCATATGTGACAAGAAGTGATCTTCTAATGAACCTACATGTGGACTAGGGTTAAAATGTCTATTTATCCCATATTCATCAGCCCAAGTCTCCCTGAAAGAAGGCTGATTAACCATGCCACTAACAGAGCTTTGATCAGTAAATGGAGCATCTCTATCCATTGATGGATCCAGAAAATGACCCTGATCACCTAATCTCAAAGAACTATTGGAAGATTGTGCACGCCTTAAATGAGAACCATCTCTGAGTTCAGACATCAATAACCCAAAGGGATGCAACTTATCGGCCTCATTGTGAGAATCATTCAATGCAACTTCATTGGCAACAGGTTTTCCAGCAGGATGAGAATGCAAGGCATTGACATCCATGGGCCTCATCAAAGGTTTTTCATTTATGCTTCCAGCCAATTTTGACAAATGGATATCTACAAAAACAAATATATAAATAAAAGAAGAAATAGATGCATAAATAACAAAATATGGCCACATAAATTGATAAGAAAAATTATAGTAGATAGACATGACAATGGCAGTACGAGAAAGCCAATAAATTACCCTCATCGTGTGCAACAATATTACTGAAGCACTGATCGTCAGAGAACTTGACCTCAGAGTGATAACTTTGATTGGGTATTTGAGAAGGAATACCAACACTTGAGGTAGTATCAGGTCGGGAAGAAGACCAAGGTTGATCATCGCTAGCAGAAGACCCATCATAATCAAAATTATGTACATCTACTTTTAGGTTCCTTCCAATGGCATCAGAGGGTTCTGATTGAATAACCCTATTACTACCAGAACCTAATCCTGACTTGACTTTCAAATGAGGCATAATGTCACCAAGTTCATGGAATGGTGATCCTTCAGGAGCATCTGACAAGCGAACAGGCAAGTCCATTCCAAAAAATCCTTGTTCGAACCACAAAATTATGTCAATCCCAAGAAAGGGTCCTTGAATTTCCCCTTGAGGATCCAGATAGCACAAACTCAACTCCTCAAGAGCAATAACACTTTCAGGAAGATATGTCTTCTCATTAATTTTGAAGTCCTGTTGATTAATGCTTGGAGTTTGCTGCAACGAGGAAAAATCAAATAGGGAGCGAGAATCACCGGGTAGACTGCTATTGATTTCAGAAGCACCAGTTGAGTCAACACCATTCCGATTAGCATGTTCCAGAGCACCAGCAGATTGTCCCTGATGAACAAAAGTGGCTGATTCAGCAACTTTGTTTCCTGGAATGCTTCCCTCTCCAATGCTGCTAACAGAACTCTCATCTCTGCCATGCACACCAATAGTTGGCAAATGTTTCGGCTTGCCTTCTTGAAAATCTAAAAAAGATGATAATTTGTATAAAATCAATATAATTAAAGAAACTGAAAAATCATTCCGTTCAACAGATTAGCACAATAGAATAAGAAACAATATTGATTTCTCACCCTCAACAATGTCTCTCAATAAACCACCAGCATTTGATCCTGTACCTATTAATATTTGATCAGAATCATCTGAGACATCACTTCCTGATATAACCTTTGCACCACTGCCAATGGAAGGTTGTTGTTTTCCCTCACTTGCAATACCAGGACCTGAAATATCCCAATGAGACAATAAGAAAAAGTAGGAAGTTAATTATTGTAGAGGAACAAATAAATCGATGCATGTATGTCACCTGAAATATCCTCATTTGACCCTCCTTCCCTTCCTCTAAAGGAATAACCTGAGACTTCACTGCTAGTAATTTTTCCTTTCCATATTTCTTTAAGGACAACCTGAAAGAAAGATGCAAAATAGAATCAATATCAATGATCAAAAGAAAATGACCCTTCAAGGAAACAAAAATTTGAAACAACATCAGTAAGGCATGATGGAAGTGTTTCTTCATCTTTTACATTCTACATACCTCTTCCTCATCAGCAGGAGCAATAAATGCTAATGGTTCAACAGAACCATGTTGAGTTAAGGGCAATGTATGCTCCATCTCAGAAGGCAAGCTATCGAAATTTGGATCAACCTTTTGCTTGCGATAAATGTCAAGGAGCTTACCCCTTGGGTAGTAATATGAATCAGCACCAAGACTAGACTTCCCCAAAATGGATTTACTCCTATCCACCAATGCAGATCCAACACTAGAGCCTATAGGGGGCCTCACAATTTGTGGGCTTCCATTAATGTTTGCCCTTCCTCTTCCTGGTGAAAATCGCACAGTGGAGCCTTCTGTACGTCCTTTCTCCAGTCCAAATCCAGGTGCAGCACGGTATGTAGCCACACCAGCAGCTTGAGCTTCCAATCGATGTCGTGGCCTCCATTTATCTCGAGAATCAGTGTCACGGTCAGACCCGATGCGATTGCCAACACCAGAAGATTGTTTTTCAGCATGACTATCTTCCTTCTCAACATCATTTCTTTTCTCACTTCGAGAATCCTTCTCCTTATCTTCAGGACCCCATCTTGATGACCACTTATTTTCCCTTCGAGAGTCATGGCCAGAACCACGGGTCTCATGCCAGCGATCAGAGGGCAAGGATCTATTCTCTGAGGTTGAAGTATTCTCCAATCGACGATCTTCTTTTCTACGATCCCTTCTCCCAAGCAAGCTTGTTTCCCTCTCCTCTTCACGCCAGCGGCGATTGATGTCAACATCAGGAGCTGTCCTCCTCCAGTCTTTTTTGTCCTGAGACCCTTCCAAACGCCAACTGTCTTTCAGAATGGGATCAGTTGAGTTTACCTGAGGCAAGAAGCCAAGTAGATGGATATCATCCTATCATTTCTCTAAGATCAGGAAAAATTGATGGATATTTGAAGAGATAAAAGTTGAAGATTATTAAATTCTACAGTTTCAATAACCACTAAACTTCAACCTTAAGATCAAAAACACACAAGAATTCAGCTATTAAAAGCAAACCTCATTAATCAACCAAAGGATAATAATCAGTTGCATATTTGTATTAGAAAAAATGCACAGCAAATCTTACCATGCTAATTGGGAACCAATGGGTCCAGAAAACATTCTGTGATTTAGTTGGAAGAATATTCTAAATTAAAGAAATCAACTAAAAATCAATGCAAGATGATATATCGTCTCCAATTAATAACAATCCAGGCAAATTGCAAACAAATATCACAAACTCTAAAATTGCAAAAAAAAAAGGAATTCATCACCAAATACTTCCCTTTCACCGTATCCAACAAGTTCAGTGTCATTATTGCAGAGAAAATGCATACACAATAGTAAAATGTCTGAAATGACAAGTTTTCAGATACCAAAATGATTTAGAATAGCAACAGAACCCTTGACACCGATAGATTTCATGAAGGGGGAACAGTCCGATAACACAGGCAAAACCAAAATATCAAATAATACATACCCCCACTGGGTTGGCAGTTGTCCTTGCATCAACAGGTTTGGAATAAAGCCACTGTGGGGATAAGGGTATGCTGTTGTCAGATGACAATTGATCTGAAAGTAAAATGTTTCATCAACCAACCATTACAATCTACACATTAAAGATTGAAACACGACTAGATGTTAACTTGGACAAAGATAATCAAGATACCTTTTGAATCATCAAGTAGCGCTGCAGTCCCTTTCTCCCCGCCATGTCCTCCAGATGCTTCATCTAAGGCAAACAAAGATTGAAATTAGCAGGAATGTCATGAAATTCATTTATAATTATAAAAAAAATGCCTAAAATACATTAGGATAAATTGGATGAAAAATACTTAAGAAAAAAAAATGCAAAAACAAATAAAAACAAAAGGCAGTTGTATTGCTTCCTCGTAAGACACAAAGAGTAGCTTCTGAAGTAAAACCTATTCCATAAAAGTGCTTAATGACGGGATCTGCAGTATCCACCAACACTTACAATTACATATCATCAAAAAAAAATTTTAAAAAGTCAACAGGTAAATCAAATCACCCAGCCGCACACACCGAAGAAAACAAGCCCACCAAAAGCACAATCAAATCAGCTTACTTAAGACATAACAAAAACACCATAATTCCAGATTCAGATTAACAAAACCAGCAAAGTGAAGTCCCAATCCCTCCAAGCACGACCTTGGAAAACCACACTTCTTAGCAAACAACAGTACATACATCACAATCTATACTCAGTAAATCAAAAGGACGCTGAAACAGATCAATCCTAAATCTAAAGTCAACTCAACCGAAAATTAAAAATTAAAAACACTGACAAATCACATAGAGAAAAAAACAAATCAAAAAACAAACAAATTGCAGAGCCACACAAGCATGAACAGGCCCGTCTGTCGGGCGCGCAATTGACACGCAGAACGAATCGCGGATTGAGATTCGACGGATCCAGACAGGGAGATCCAGCAATGATTGCGAGACAATGAAAACGTGCGTTCCGACAAACTCGAAAAAAAAAATTAAAAAAAAAGCCCTAATCGAAAGTTGAAGGGAATTCGAATGAATCAAATCAAATCACCTCTGAGGGAATCGGAAGGCTTGGAGGAGAAGAGATCGTCGGGGAGATTGACCTTGCCGTCGCCCATAGCCGTCGAGTTCGGGATTGTCAGAATTCTGAAAACGGAGAGATCCGAAAACGGAAAGGAAGGAGAAAAAATGGGAAAAGAGGAACGAATGCGAGAGAGAGAGATAGGGTTGAACGTTGAAGTGCGCGTCGAAGATTGGCGGGGTAGGGTTTGCGAATTGCAGGGTATAAGATAGAGAGGAGGAGAGAATGAGAGAGATAGAGAGAAATAGAGAGAGAGCGCCAGAGAGAGAGAATGAATGGGGTAAGGGTTTGAGGGCTCAGGGTGGGGTGTGGTGTGGTATGGTAACATCAGGAGCAACCACGAGACTGTCATATATTATTGCATTTTTTTCTGATTTAGTTTTTATCGCAAATGTGAATAAATGGTTAAATTTTACCAGGGTAAGTTTTCAGATTGGATAAATATTCATTTGGTCTCTCTAAATATTCAAACCTTTGATTTTGTCTCTAAACATGGAAATTTGTTTTAGTTTATGCGTCAAAATATCTCCTAAGTTCAAATTATCACATAATATTAAGCATATGAGGAGTTATTTCATTTATACAATACATCTTATAATAATCTCATATAAATTTAAATATTTTATATAAAAATTTACTTAATTTTTAGGTTATAGATTGAAGTAATTATTTAAATTGATTATGTAACTCTTATAAGTAATCCTGTAAGAATACTTAAAATATTCTTTCGATTAATGTGTTTCTTTCATGATTTTTTTTTAATAACATTATCATAAGAAATCATAATGTCAAATGATTGATTTAATTTGAAGTAATATTAGTAAGAAAGTACATTATGTAATCTAATTAAAGGTGTCGCGGTTTAGTCTCGTCCAATTTTAGTCTAACAAATTACTTAATAAATTGTATTAAGTTAATCTAGAGTATAAATTTTAGATTTAATCTAATTATTTCATGGAACCATGAGTAATTTCAAAACCTAAACCCGTTTTAAAAATTTTGAGAATATATATTTTAAAAATTAAAATTATATTAATAAAATTAATTTAACTTTTAAATGTAATAATTTGTTATATAAAATTATAATATTTGTATATTTTTAATAAAATAATATTTTTTATTATTTTATTAAAATTATCATTTTGATTTTTTGTCCACTAAAACAGTTAAACTGTCATCTGTACATTTATAACAGATTTTTTTAGTTAAATTAATGATAGTAAAAAGTCAATAAATATATGATTACAAATAATTTATTATTATTATAAATTTTGTTAACATATCTCTCGTATTGATATTTATAGATTTTGAATAATCAATTAAATAAATAAATAATTGTGTCATTACATGTCAATAATTAAAAAAAGAATATCAATTATTTGAATAGACATTCTGAATGTAGTAGAATCATAATTTTGTAATCATATATGTTTCTCATATTAAATGAAAATCAATCTATTTTACCCTCTTATAAAAAAACAAGATTTGTGATAATTTATATAACATTAATATTATATATCAATATGTAACAAAATATAGTGTTTGACAAAAGTCAAGTTTGGTTAAAAAGTCTAACAACCATATTATTTTAGAAACAGTACGTAAGATGAGATAAAATATTTATATAATAATCATAATTTATGAGTTAGTAAAGTTGTCTAAAGATGAAAAAGAGCTTCGAAATCAGATGAATTTTCAAGATGAAATAAATGAACAACTTTACATCTCTCGGACACAAAATTAGATTAGTGATGAAAGACTTAAAATAGAGATAAGATGTTAATTTTAATTAGACAAATATATTTATCAAAATTTTACTTTTGTTGGTTTAGAGGCTGAATAAATGGTGTGAAGTTAACTTTCATTCATGATAATTTAGAAGAAATTACCTAAAATAACCAAAAATCTTCTTGTTGGAGGTAAAAAAAGACCATTTGTGTAGGTTAAGAAAAAATTTATATGATTTGAAGCAAACTTTAAGAGATTGGTATAAGAAATTTGAGTACTTTATGTATGTATGATTAAGCTACAAAAAGCTTATTTTTTACTATTGTGTCTTTCTTATAAAAATTCTTGATATGACTTCGTTGTCATATTATTATATGTTAATTACATGCTTATTAATAAGAAAAATATTTCTAAGCTAGACGGGTTAAAAAAATAATTGGGTTGTCATTTGTCTTGAAAGACATAAGAGTTATTAAAAATATTCTTAATATAAGTATCATGTGTGATAAAAAAGAGTAAAAACTTTGATTGTCACAAAAATACTACATCAAGAAGGGTACGTAGAGATTCCAGATGAAAGATGTTAAGGTACTGAGCATTCCACTTGTGGCTAATTTTAAACTAAGTGTTAAACAAAGTCTTTCAAATAAAGTTGAGAATACTTATATGAGTAAAATTCCTTCTAGATCTATAATGGACAATTTGATGAATGCATTAATATGTACAAGACTAAATATTGCTTATATTGTTGGTATAGTCAGATAATTATTGTGAAATCAAGATAAAAAATATTTGAATGTTATGAATGAATTTTGAAGTATCTTTGTAGTGTTACTTTTGTAAGTTACTCAGATATGACTAAAGATATTGATTCAAAAAAGTTCACTTTGAATTATTTGATTAAGTTTGGACGAGAAGTTGTGGTTTGGCAATTAGGCTTATATAGGTGTGTAACATTATCTTCTATAGATATAAAGTTCATTGTCATTGTTGAAGCATACAAAAAATTGTTGTGGTTAAATAATTTTTTATACGAGCTTAGTTTTATATAGGACAATTATCCATTATTTGTGGACAATAGTGTTATATATCTTGGTAAGAATTTTTCTTTCTAAATTTAAGCACATCAATGTGAGATATCCTTGAATATGTGATGCTTTGAATGTTAAGTTATTGAAATTGAGTAAAGTTCATATTAATGATAATGATGTTAATATGATAACTAAGATACTATAAAGGTGAAAACTTAAAGTTTGTTGTGAAATCATCATTAAGGTGAAAACTTGAAGTTTGCTGTGAGATCATCGAATTGACAATTACCTTTAGATAGTTGTGAAAGGTGGAGATGTATTAAGTTGAACTTCTTATTATGTGTCTAAAAAGGCTAAGTTTCTCAAGTCTATTTTGTCTCACCTAACCTAAAGGAAGAGATGGGTTTGATAGGTCAAGAAAGAGTGTTAATTTCTTATGTTTTACAGTGAGAAAGAAGACAAAAGAAAATGTTTCACATATTCAAAAATTTTCTTTAATAAAATTGTGATCCTTGTTTCGTTAATTGTTTGAGCATATTGAAAATTTGATAATAGATTCGTAACATTGTATTATTTGTTTTAATTGTTGGGGTTATGGATTTGAAGTCTATGGTAGAGAAAATAATTTTACATAATTGCTCTAATTTTGGTTTTTTTGGTCTTTGTTCTTCTATTTGAAAGCTTAATTATTTTTATGTATTGGCTTATTGTAAGAATCTCTCAATAAATTTTATTTCTTTTACCATATTTGATCATATTGGAACTTGTTTGACTTATGTAAATAAGTTTTTATTTTTCACATAGAAAGTATTTTGTATGTTATTTATTGTTGATTCCTACAAATTGAAATTTATTTATTACAATATTTCCTTTATTAGTTTTTATTGTCGTATTATTGTTTCTCTTATTATTATAAGTATCAAAATAGATTGACCCAAGAGGTCAAAGAAATATGTTAGATTAGACAAAAAAACTTATAATCTAAATTGAATCAGACTAATTTCGATATGTCATATTTAGACCATTACTTTTACTTAGAAGAGCTTATGTCAAGCTAGTCTATAAGTTTATAGACGGATCCGTTTTCTAGAATAATAATTATTTTTTAAAATAAAATAATATTATTTTATATATATATATATATATATATATATATATATATATATATATATATATATATATATATGTGTGTGTGTGCATGCGTTCACGTGTTATAAATAAATTTGATAAATGGTTTACTTTTTCTAAGAGTTAAATATAAGAGTAACTATCCATCAATCACTTATTTTAAGATCTAATAATTAATATTAATTACTATATTAAATCAATAAATTATTAAAAAATAAAATGATAATAAAAAAAGTTTTTAACTCTTATTTTGATATTAAATATATTCATTCTCCTATAATTTATATATTAAATCATTATATATTAAATAAATTACTAATTTTATTAATATAATTTTAATTTAAAAAAATATTTTTTATTTAAATATTTGTTTTAATTTTTTTATATAAATACGCTATTTAAAAAAATTATTATATTAAAATTGGTCTTTAACTTGTTGGAATAACCTAAGATCAAGTTAGACTAAAATTTATATCCTATTTTAAATTATAGGATAAGTTAAATCATTATTTTTTTTTTACTTTGTGATAGGTCAAATCAGAACCATCATTTATTAAAAAGACAATGAGATATAGATATAACTCAACAAGTTTTTAACAAGAATTCCACATCTTCTTAAAATTAATGATACGGTAAAACTGTTAATAAATTTAATATGATTTTAATTCTAATATTGTTTAAAAAATTATCATATATATATCAACATAAAATTTACAATAACAAATTAAATACTTAAATTTGAATAACTATATTTTTATGCTTTTATTTTATATATTATTTTTATTATTATTGGTTGGATAATAAAGAAATCATATTAAATTCAATTTTTTAAGACAATATTTCTTCAATTATAAATATATTTAATATTTCCTTAATTTAATATAATTATATGTGAACCATCATTTAATGTTGAAAATATATATATATATATATATATATATATATATATATATAAATTTATAAATATTAAGTTGAAATAAGAATACATAATTTAAATAACTTGTGTAATGCAATTATTTAAAGTCGAGTATAGTCATTTAATTCCATAAACTAGTTTTAGAAAGTTTGTAAGATTTATGATCATTGTATGAACGTCAGACTATACTAGATCCATTGTATATATGCATATGAAATAGTGTCTTGTGTATGAGAGACATGACTTTAGAGATAAAATAACAGACTTATATGCATATGAAAAAGTTCAAAGAAAGTTGTGCATGATCATGACAATTGAAATGGGGAAATGAAGAGAGATAATTAATGTGATTTTTCATGGTAAAGATTTGTTATTAGTTTAGTATAGACCTTATGGGTGAATCAAATACTTGCTTATCTTGAGTTGTTATATTAAAGTAATTTAATTCAATATAGATGGCACTTCTTATGGTTAATATCAAATCTTCGACTACTTCTCGAGTTAGATTGGTGTTACATGTACATGAAATAGAGATTAGGAACTGTTGTAACATCTATTTAAAAAAAATGTAATGTTATTATTTATTTGTCTTAACGAAATTATTTTATTAGCTTTAAATAAAAAAATAAAAGTGTTATATAAAATATAAAATAAGTTGGTTGATTAGACAAAGATAATTTAGAAATGTAAAATTAAAAAGATAAAACTCAAAAATTAGAATAGAATGGGTGTGATTTATGAAAGTTAAATCTCACTCGTTAGTATATTAATAAGTATTATCTATTATTCCTTTTCATTCAATACTTGTTTAGTTCCTAATACTTCAAAGAAATTTTTAGTATTGTTTAGGAGGAAGAGTGAGGAGTGTCTCATCTATAAATGCTTATAAGAATTATGAATAGAAAGAGAATCCTAAACCTTCTATAAGATTTAATCATGTTTTATTACAGTGGATTAATTGTAACGTTATCAATTTATTTTAAATAAATAAATCCAATTATTGATTTGTATAGTTTTTAAAATCTATTGCAGTCCTATTTATTCAAAACTAATTGGTATCCTATGAAAACCCATTAGCTTTTATTAAATAATAAATAACTTTAGAGCTATAAATTTAAATATCATAGTCCAAATATTGATATTTTTTATATTATTTTCGGATCTTGCAATTTCCTTTAAAATCTAAAGATTACGATTAGGTGTTTTTTTTTTTTTAATTACTAAACATGATCTACATTAAAGTTGTGACCATGGATAATAGTTAACCCATGGTATTGGTTTCACTACAAAATAAAATGCAAAGTAAAATTGTTTGACTTAAAGGAAATATGGTACAAATAAAGAAGATACGAATGGAAATTTTATAATTTATTTGAGAAAATAAAAAAAATAATTAGGTAATTTAATGAATTACTAAAATATTTAGAATTAAAATTTAATAAAAATAGATGTAAATCAACTTACAAAATTATTAGATATGATTTATTTTAATTTAAAATATTATTTATTATTAAATTATTATATATATTATTACTTAAAAAATAATTATTATTTGTAAAACGAGTCCGACTCATCGTCTATAAGTTAACTTGATCTAAGTACACGTAGGTCATACCAAAATGAGCCAAACAAAAATATGTCTAATTCAATTTAGGTCATAAATTTTTTAGACTAGTCATGTCTATTTTTTGGGTCTTTCGAACTGACCTATCGAACTAAGTCTATTTTGATATCACTAATTATGATGAGTTTGACAGGCTTTGACCTTTCACACTAGTTCACCATTTGACGAAAATTTTATTATGACATGCTCGATAGGTTTTGTCATTTTACACTAACTCATTGTTTGGAGGGTATTTTGAACGATATATAAATTTACCTTTCTGATGTGGTTATTGGCGTATCATTCTAAGTTCAAGGGATTATTGATCGGATAACTCTTCTAACATTTTTCCCATTTTGCAATAAATTATTTATATGAATAGTTCTAATTTGAGATGAACTTTAATGAGTTTCTCCCACTTTTTTTGTAGAGTGTCAAATTATTCTATAATGTAACAATATTTATATCATATCAAATAAACATTACATACGTATTAACATTTATCATGTTTGATTGATGATATAAAATAATATTGAAATTATACTAATATTAAAATATTTATATTGTTTATGCATTTTTCAATCTTTCTTTCTTTTCATCCGATTTCTTTAAAATTATAAAGTTCTTTAATTTTGTAATTAAATATATATATAAATATATATATATATATATATATATATATATATATATAAAGATATTCGAATTTATGTATTAATATTCCACGATAACCAATGGAAAATAATTATTATCAAATTTCATAACATTAACATTATATGTCAAGTACGTTACCTATAAATCAACAGAAAATAATATCTCACATGTAATTTATCTCTTAACATGTAATTTTTACAAGGATAACATTAGAAACTCTCTCAAAACACAAAAAATCATCATCATTCTTGTATTAAATTAAAAAGATATATAAATTGAATTATGTATTTATTCTATAATACAAACTATTGTTCTCATTTTTTTTAGAAAATTGATAAAATTATTTTAAAAAATCAAAGTTCCTGATTTGTGTGGGTTAGAAAATTTTTACCTAATTTATGGTGGGTATCAAATATTCTTGTCAAAAATTACAATAATAAATAAACTTTATTCAATATTGAAAAAAAAATGAAGGTTCACTTATAAATATACTATAATACTTAAGTTAATATAAGAAAATGTCAGTTATTAATTAATGCATAATCTAAAATTAAATTTCATAAGAAAGTTTTCAAATTATGTATAGAAGTTGAAACTTCTAATAAACTTTTGACCTTAGAAAAAAAATGTGATTTCACCTATGACATCTTTTTATCTTGTCCTTTTTTAACCTCAAGTGAAAAAAAAAAATAAAAAAAAATGCAAAGATTAATAATTGAACCCAACTATATTTACTAACTTATAATTCAATATATATACTAAATGAAAAACACATGTCAATTATGTCCAAAAAGAATAAAAAATAAATGCTTAAACATATCATTCATGTGAGCCTAATAATCTATTTTAAAAGTATGGGTGGAAAATGGATTAATTTGCTTTATTTTGACCATCCTATCTTTGACTCGCAAAATGTAAGATGAGACAAACTAACATGTTATAGTCATATTACAATATAAATTATGTAATAATTAATAATTTTTATAATATAAAATATAGTCAGATTTAATTAAAACATATTTAATAGTTGGATACCGAAAAAGAATGTAAGACAAAGTCCCTTATAGGAGAATATAAAAAAAATACTCAAATTTTTGGATATTGAGTAAGACCATTTAATGAATAGAAGATTTACTAGTATTATGTTTTCATTGAAAACAACACTATTTTTTGAAAAAATAATAAACAAAATGTAATTGTTTGATTTAATATTGATCCTCGATACAATTTAATATATATCTCATTTATGCGGATAAAACAATTTTTTTAAGGACTAAAATTATGTGAGATTTCAACATATGAAGATATATTTTAAGTAAACAATTATCTATATTCTGTTAGCATATCAAATATAAAAACCTTGACTATTATTTTATTAGAGAGTAGTTGTTTTTAAGAAAGTTTATATAAGTTTGTTAAATCAAATGATAAACTTACAAATACGTGAATAAAATATATGAGATTACTTAAATTTAATTTATAAGTTTCAAAGTTTCATAGGCTCAATTAAATACTCCAGCTTAAAAAAAAGTTTTTTAATAAAATATATTCACTTGTTTAGATAGATTCTTGAGAACTATTTTTATTTACTAATATTAATTATTTATTTATAATATTTTCCTTTCGTATAAGGATGAATTTTATGAATAACATGGAGTATATATATATATATATATATATATATATATATATATATATATATATATATTTTGTTGTGAAGTATTTATTTATTGTGTCCAATTTAAGGACTTAATTATCCCAGAAATTAGATATCTTATACTGACATGTTTTTAGAAGAATGTATTTGATGGAGGATCTCAGGTGTTATAATTCCTATCAGGTCGGAAAATTATTGGAATGTTACAATACTAAAACAGAAAATTAATTTTTGTCTAAATCGTTTTAAATAAATCTAATTCAATTTTGCATTTATTCTCATACATTTTTTTGTTATTATTATTATTTTTTCATTTCTCTCTTGTCTCTTGTTACCTTAGGAATTTTTTTTCAATTAGATTACCATAATATCTCGCTCTTTTTTTCTTTCAACTCTATGTTTTCGTACATTTTTTTTAATACTTTATGTATAACAAAAATACTTGCTAGACCTTCCTTACCTAATGGTTGTCCAATTCCTATTTCCCACTTATAAATACAAATAACTTAATTCGGTCATACTAAAGATATGAAGTTTATTATATTAATATTCTCTATATGATTATACTCATTTTGTTAGGACAATTTGTATGACTCCTACTATGTTTTTAGATACACGCATCAAATATAATAATCATACCCCACTCAAATAACATTACTTTTATATATATATATATATATATATATATATATATATATATATATATATATATATATATATATATATATATATATATATATATGATAAAGTTATGATTTGAGAAAAAATATAATTAAAATATAACTATATTTATTATAAATGATAAAGTTATAATTTTATAAAAGTTGTTTTAAAAATAGAGTAAAACAATAATATTATTTATAACAATATTTTATTAATAATTAATAATATATCAAAATTAAACTCAAGAGTAGTTTATTTATTTTTTGTTATTTTAGAAATTTGTATAAAAAAGTAAAACGACAAACCAATAGAGTCGTTTCACTTATCTCCATTGACTACTAGATCCACCAAGAAGTAGACCCCACCCACCCCTTGCCGCATTTGTACGGCATCTCCGGCCGAAGCCAAAGTGTTAAAAAAAAGGAAGCAAAACGCACTGCAACAGCTCCAGCTAAAGACCGGACGCACCATGGACAGCCGAAACGTCGTCGTTTGCGACAACGGAACAGGGGTACTTCTCTTCTCTCTCGTACCTTTGCAGTTGAACGGATCTTGTAAAATACGTCGAATTAGTGCAACATTACACTTCCACGATCCGAATGGTGTTATATTTCTGAAATTATTCTTATTCTTATTATATGTGAATGCAGTATGTGAAGTGTGGTTTTTCTGGGGAGAATTTCCCCACATCGGTTTTTCCTTGTGTAGTAGGAAGGCCGATGCTCCGTTATGAAGAATCACTCACCGAACAGGAGCTTAAGGTAATCCAAACTCAATATTTCACTATTAAAACTTATTATAATTTGTTGTTGTTGTTGTTATTGTTATTATTGTTGCAAGGTATTGTTAATTATTATAATTATAGCTATTTATGATGACGATGATTGTGATGATCGTATGAAATTACATTGGTTGTTTGTGCTGTGTTTAGGATATTGTTGTTGGCGAAAGCTGTGCAGACTTGATGCATCAGCTTGATATATCTTATCCTGTGAACAACGGCATAGTGCAAAATTGGGATGATATGTGCCATGTTTGGGATCATGCATTTTACAATGAATTGAAGGTGACTCTCTGGGTTTGTTTCCGAAGGTTCTTTTCAACTTTGTTGCTCTCTCTGTCGGTAAACCGGTTTTCTTTGGCAGATTAACCCTCCGGACTGTAAGATTTTACTCACCGATCCGCCGCTTAATCCTTCCAAGAATCGTGAAAAAATGGTTTGTACTGATTCTGTAGCCTTCCTCTAAAAAAATTAAAATAGAAGAGCTAGTATATGTTATATTTAATTATTGAATTTTATTACGGTAAATGTTTTTTTTACGGTTATCCAGTCATAAATTACTATATGTAGTAAGATTGTTGATTTTTGTAATGGTTTAAAAATCGTATTTAAATTAATTTCTGACAGTGTAAAAATCTTTATATTGGCAGAGGATGAAAATTAAACTTTTAATTATTTTAATCTTGTTCTTTTATGCAATTTGGCCTGGCAGGTTGAGACGATGTTTGAGAAGTACAATTTTGCTGGAGTGTTTATCCAAATCCAAGCTGTTCTAACATTATATGCTCAAGGTGCTTATAGAGATGAGTGAAGGTTGATGTTTTGTTTTTCTGTTATCCCAGCCTAATTGTAGTTTTCTCCCACGAGTCTTATTACGCATTTTTTAAAATTACTGACTCTAATTATAACATTTAGTTATTTATAAACTGTAGTTATTTTATACTCTGTTATAATTTTGCACACCGTATTTAGTGAAATTACATATCATAATTTGCAAGAACTTGTTTGTGAAATAGGGAGTTTTCTCCATCCATATTTATTCTTTGGAAAACTTGCACTTCCTTCAGCAATATATGCTCATTTTGTGCCCTCTTTCAGCTTGCACTTTAAGATTTCTTTACTTGTCTCAGGTTTGTTGACTGGATTAGTCATTGATGCGGGTGATGGTGTCACTCACGTGGTAATTAATTAGTTTCTATGCCACTTAGTTCTTATGCTGATCACTATAATGACACTAGGTTTTATCTCTTGTTTTCCAATCTTTCCTTTTTATTTCTTTGTACATTGCTTTGCTACAGTCAATATTTACTTAATGGCAGTTGTAAATAAATATTGTGATGTCAAACCTTACAAATTGTACCCTTGTTGATTGTTGTAGCAAATCTTTAATGAATTGGGTACAGTAACTAAATCAAACATTTGACAATGTCATATATCTTTCTAAAGAATGTTAAATGTAATTCTTAACAAGTAACAAAAATATTGATACAGAAATACTGTGTTGCATGGCAATCTCTTTGGAAAGTTGGTGCAGGATGAGCTTACTGGATACCTTTGGATGCATGTCACCCATTTATGTGAATATTATATTTGGCTTCTTTCAATTCAGTGCATGAACACCATCATGAGTTTGTTTAGCACTGTTCATATTTATGGATTGGATTGCATATTTATTTGTTATATTTATATAATATAATTTTATAAAAATTACTTATTGGATGAAAGCTTTCATTTCCATTGTGGATTTGTGAGTTTGTCCTTTAGATGATTTTTAAATAGTGTTAAGACGTAATGTACATTTACACTAATGTTGGTTCCTATATATATTTATATTGATGTTATTACAATGGATTTGTTGAAAAAAATCTAAATTAGAATCAGGATTACACCACTGAGTAACTTTTTGTTTAACCATCTTTTCTTGAAACCCTCCACTCATTGAAAACTTATATGCCATATGTAACATTCTCATAACATTTTATATTAGCCATTACTCTTATGTACTCTGTTGTCTTATAGTAAATTATACTTTTAAAATAAAAAAATCCAACTATGTGGTTGCATGCTTATAGTTTAATTTTTCTGAAGTTTGCTGGTTTCTGTGCAAAAGCTTTTTTTTGGTGAGTTATTTTGATTCAATTGCTAGATTAGTAGTCATTTTCTATTATCTGATGAAAACTGAAGAAACAGTAATTTTATTTATCATCAGACAATGGATTCCAATCTTTCCCTTGAAATTAAATTTGATATCAAAAGTAAGTGCAAAGAGACCAACAAAATAAGTATAATCGGATACAAATGGTAGTATGGCAGTCTTAGTCCAAGCCTCAGGCTACCAGAAATCTCTCTCCAAATTCTCTTTACCCCCATCCCCTCATGCTCATTCGTGTCAACTTTTTCCCATTTGCCTCAATGACCCCATAATCATGCTGATAGAACTGGATCAGATTGCAAGAAAATGAAAGAAATTTTATCGAGATACAAACCCCCCGTCAATGGAAAACAGGGACAAGATGATCCTGATCTTCAGAGGAAAGAAAAAAAACTACAATCTCTAAAAGTGTATTCAGAATTCAAAAAGCCTTTCCCAACTAACTTTCTATGCCGTTAATGCCCTTCTTCTATTAATTCCTAATCTGTCTGCTTCTCTCCACTGTGAAAGAGGGCAATTACAATTTCCACAACTTCCTTCAGTCTGGACCCATCATGTTTACTTTTTCTTTTCTTTCATATATATGGGTCAACAACAACTATCACTATATGGATACCAAGTATATAAGCTATAAACTTGAATGGATTCCCCACATTGTAGTGGCCATTTAAATAAGACTAAATAGATTGAGGATCTTATTCTGTAAAGGTCTGACAACTAAGAAAGGAGAGTTTGTATCACAACTCACAAAGTGGCTGGCTTTGATCCTGTTGTATGTATGTATCAGCCAATGTATGCAAGTAACAATGTATCGTGTCCCATCACATCCTCAATGGTTACTTTCAGTTTTGGAATTAAATTAAGATTTACTATTACCCTCCCCTTGAAATTTTCTTGAAGCAAGATTGAATAGGTTGAATGCTGTGATTTGTGATTCATTGTTTTTTTTTTTTTTTTTGAGAATGGGGATTTCTCTTGTCCATTTTCTTTTTCTGAATGATTATGAAGCGTAATATATGATCACCAATCATGAACACAAGTGCTATGTTGTATGACCCATGGTTCATGAGTGCAAAAGGTGCCTAAATGCCATTATTGCAATACCAAATTATTATTCTTATTCTTATTATTATTATTATTTATTATATGCATTCCAAAACTTTTAATAATGAAAGTTATCATCCAGGTTCCAGTTGTTGATGGCTATTCTTTCCCTCATCTAACTAAACGAATGAATGTTGCTGGTCGACATATAACTTCTTATCTAGTTGATTTGCTTTCAAGGCGGGGGTAGGGACTAACTCCTCTCATTTCAGCTGTAATATCTTATGTATACTTAAATTCTTATTGGAACACAATTTTCTTTCCTTAAGGTATGCATTAAATAGGACTGCTGATTTTGAGACTGTTAGGGAAATCAAAGAGAAGCTATGCTATATAAGGTTGGCTACAGATCTCAAGCCACACTTTGATTTCCTGTGTCCTGTAATCTTTCCATAATAGGTTCATCTATTTTCCTGCAGTTACGACTACAAGAGGGAATACCAGTTGGGGCTTGAGACCACCATCCTTGTTAAGAATTATACTGTAAGTTGACATTCTGAATTTCTTGAAGTATTTTTATGACTAGTTCCTTGTAAAAAATTATAAATTAAGTTGGAAATTCTGGTTAAAATGGCTTGCATGAAAATAGATGGACATGATGCTCATGTTCTGCTGACCGTTTAATCTGTTCTTTAACGGATTTCTTTTCCTATGCCTTTCAAGACTTTCTGTAATCACATTAATTCTTCTTGTGCCTTCATGCACTCAAGTACTTTGTACTATTTATTTTTGTTGTTATTGATGTTGTTTATAGTGTATTTGGTTTGAGGGATGGAAGGGGAGGGTTCCCTTGAATGATTTGGTCCAAGAAAAGTAGAGGGGAGGGAAAATATGAATAATATATTGCTAATCCTTATTAGCATTAGTGAAAGGGATAGGAGTTGAAATGAAACCTTAGAAAAATTCAGCCGACATTGTAAAAATATTATAAACAACTTTTCCTCCCCTTCGAATCCCCCATATATTGGAGGGGAAAGATTGAGCTTCCTCATTTTACCGTTCATCCTTCTGAACTTCTGAGCTACACTAGATAAGATTAAAAAATCCCTTTCCGTTCCTCCCCACCAAATTTCATGTATGCCTAAGGTAACTGCCATTAATACTGTGAGAATATATGAAAATATCTAATATTATTTTGATGTTATCTCAGAATATTATATTATTTTTAGGATTAAATTCCCTATGTCCGTATTATCTCTTAGAATTGGTTACCATATTTTCTTATCTCATGATTTGTTATCTACATGATTAGTATAATTAAGGGTTCATGCTCTAGGTTTTATGATATCACATCACCCATTGTAATACATCATGTCATATAAATTCAATATCAATCTCATAATAGTCCTCCATTTGCTTCCCTTCATATTGATTTACCCTCTCTGAATCAGCTTCCGGATGGAAGGGTCATTAAAGTAGGCACGGAAAGATTCCAGGCTCCTGAGGCTCTTTTCACTCCGGTAGGTATTTGGTGCCCTTTTGACTTATGTTTTCTATTGTTAAAGTCATGCATAGATATATGCTTTATTTTCTTTCCCTTTAAATGACATCTATTCAAAGTGAAAATCCTATCATAAAAGTCATGGCAAATTTTTTATAAAAACATAACTGAAGTATTTTCACTCTGCAAATTTAGCTAAATTACTTAGTGTGTAATTTGCTGGCTTATGATTTCATGACCTTTTGCTCGTCTAACAGGAACTTATAGATGTAGAAGGCGATGGAATGGCTGACATGGTTTTTCGCTGTATCCAGGAGATGGATATTGACAATCGGATGATGGTATAATGCTCCTTTTGAAATCTATATTCCTTAATATATTTTTCTTAGGTAAAACGGGAAAACAATACATTTATATGAGTTGTCAGCATTTTAGGCTTCAAAAGAGTAGACTAACTTCCATATATTGAAATTTATAATGTAAGTTCGAAACAATATGAATGCCAACATTTCAGAGATGAAACCTATGACAACTATTAGATGCACCACCTCTATTTTGAGTTCATTTCCTCCTAATTTTATTTGGTAAAGTATTTGTCATCTTTGTTATTGATAAATTCGACAAAATTAGAATAAGGAAAAGGGAGACCATGTTTGCTACTATCAGAGGAGGTTCTTTATTAAATGATGAAGATAACTGGACAATGACAATGGAGATTCTGCAAAAAATAGGATGCTCCAATGGATTCCTTGCTCAATATTTGCTTGTACTCTCTTTCCTCCAATAAAAGATCTTATTAGATATTTACAAATACGGAAACTTGTAACTAGAATATTTTCAGATTTCCTTCATGTATTCTTTTTTTTTTTTTTTTTTTATAAATAAATATTGAATGTGTGTAGTAATCACACAATTCCTGAAATCCCTTTCTTACATGGTGTCAAAAGATCACGGTTCAATCCTCTCTTCTTCCTTTCTTTGTGGGTGAACAATACCATGGGTCTTTGTGCTACTGTTTGGCAGCTTTCCCAACCACCCTTGCTAACCCTCGACCATTATTGCCCAGATTTAGTGCACCCTACGCTCGCTACCACTCTGCCAGAAGCCATCACATGCGCTCCCTCATGAGCTCACCACATTTCCAGCAACATCCACTCAACAATGACGTCTTCTTGACCTTCCTTACCTCATTGAACCTACCCAGTCCCTCCTCTTGAAAGAGTTGTCTTTCTTGCAATTATTGTCAATGTTTTGGGGGCCTAATCTAACTTCTTCAACTTTAGGGTATTACTACTTTTTTACATTTATTGATGTTTTTCTGTTGTACTTGAGTTTTCTTAATGGCAAAGTGTTTTCTAATGTCATTTCCAAATTTTCAAACTTTTTGCATGAAATTCAAATTCAATTGAGATAACTATTAAAAATTTTAAACTTTGCCCAAGAATATTTGCTATCCCAATTTCAATCCTTTTTTACATTGTAGAGAATTATTATCAAACTTTCTGTGCTCATACACCACAATAAAATGTGTTACTAAACATAAAAACCATCATCTAGTTGAAACAAATTGCACCCTTCTACTTCACTCTGAAGTTTTTGTCCTATTATGGAATATTTAATGTTTTCGTTTGTTCTCAATGATCAAATTTTATACTTTATCTTGTACCTTTAAGGCCTTCTACCCTGTTACTCTTCATGTCGTGGGTATACTTGCTTCATACATGACCTCACTCTAGGCAAAGATAAACATTTTGCTATGTTCTAAAACATATTTTTCTTAGTTATTCCCATGTCCAAAAAGGATATCATTGTTTTTGCCCCAACCTTCTTTGGTATCTTGCTTTTAGTGATGTTAGCTTCTTTGAATCTACCCCATTCTTCCCTATGATGGCTAACCATGATGACCCTTTGGACGTTTAACCTATTATCCCAACCCCCTCTATTGTTGCTTCACCATCAATCATCACTTATCAACAGTGACTACGACTTCCCTTGGAAGCTCTACTTACTAATCCCTTAAGTCTTTATATCTTGCTCCAAATTCCCCTCCACCGTCACTACTTGCATAGGAGCTTCCAACAGGTAGTTAGTCCTTTCACAATTCTAACCTTTGCTATTCATGTTCCCTTCTTATGACCATTTATCTCCTTCCTATGTTTTCTTTATTTCCTTCATGAGTTCTATGTCAAAGTCTACTGGTAAAGTCATGATTGATCCTTGTTGGCAGTAGACAATATTAAAAGTAATGATTGCCTTACATGCCTATGATACTTGGGAATTTGTTCTCTTGGATTTAGATAAGACTGGAGTTGGTTGTCGTTGGGTGTATACATCAAAGTTGGTCTAGATGGTAAAGTTGATTGATTCAATGATTGCTTGGTAACTAAAGGCTTGATAAGAACTTAGGTATTTTGGGGTGCTTAGGTTCCACATCGAGTAGTATGGGATGCTCGATGGAGTACTTAAGTGCTTGGTTTTTCCCCTTTAATAACTAGCTTTTGAGGGTGACACTCAAATTTTTGGTTTTGACTATGAATAGACCTATTCCCTTGTGGACAACATCACTTCAATTTGTTTGTTTCTTGCGATGGTTGCTATTTTCCATTGGCCCACCATCAACTAGATATTAGAAATGCTTTCTTACATGGTGAGTTGCAAGAAGTAGTGTATACGACTTAACCTCCCAAGATTTGTTACTTCTAATGATTCTTGACTTATCTGTCATCTTCATGTGTCTTTGTATGATATAAAGCAATCCCCTCATGCATAGTTTGGTCATTTTAGCTCAATCTTGCTTTAGTTTGGTATGACTCGTTGTGAGATGATACTTTGTTTTCTCTTCATTCTCCATCTAGCCTTGACATTTTATTGAAGTTTATATTGACAACATCGTTATTACTAGTACTGACTCTAACTATTCAACAACTCAAATCTCATGTCCATATTCAATATATGACAAAAGACTTGAGACCGCTCCAATATTTGTGGGGCTTTAAGGTTGCTCATTCCTCTTTTGGCCTTGTCATCTCCTAAAGAATGTATATTGTAGATATACTTATAGAGACTGAGATACTTGATTGCCACTCCAATGACATTTTTATAAATCCCAATGTCAAACGCTTTCTAGGTTAAGGGGAGCCATTGGGGAAAGTAACAAAGAATTGCGGTGAGACTGAATTAGTCATGAGCTGAAACATCACATTTGCAGTTAGTGTGGTAAATTAATTCCTAAATGCTCCTTGTGATAGTCAATGGATGTTGTCATTCCATCGTTCAATACATCAATAATTACTATATGAAGACGAAAGTGATGTTAAGAGTGTTTGTTACTCTGATGCTGATAGGGTAGGATCATCGTCATAAGAGGTCCATTTTTGTTTATTGTATTTCTTTTTTGGAGGAAATTTGATTCCACAGAGAAGTAAGAAACAAATGTTGCCAAATCTAGTGCTAGAGCCGAATACCGGTCTATGACAGCAGTTGCATCCAAGACAACATGACTTGCATAACCTCTCCAACAATTACAATTAGAGATATGCAAAAGGCTAAATTAATTTCTGACCTTCAGGCATCCTTACATATTGCCTATAATGTAGTTTTACATGAGCAAATCATAACATAAATATGAATTGACATTTTTTCAGAGGGATGGTGTTCTCAAGAGAAATCACCGATGACATTGTTAGTTCCATCAATCAACTAGTAGATATTTCCACTAAATTTCTAAGGGTTCTTTGAGTAGGTTACATTGCAACAAGTTTGGCTTATATGACATACATGCTCCAACTTGAGGGGAAGTGTAAAAAAATTTGTAAGATATTGTAAATAGGAAAACTTGTAATTAGACCTGAAGATTTGGAGTTGCTTGCTGAAAATGCTTGAGAGGACGATTTCACTCAGCATTATATACCTATATCTACATGTAGACTTTTTAGGCTGCATACGAAACTTTTATAAAGCTTTACAAGACTATGTTTCTGACAGTACATGCAGCTAGTCTTTTTGTAAGACTTCCCCTTAAGTTGGAGCATACAAATTGTATGCAGCAAGTTTGGAATAAATAAACTGAATTCTTGGACTTATTAATGATTTTGTTAGGATTTTTGCAAGTTGATCATTCAAACTAACTGATCCCGTAACAATCTATGTGGACAAAATTTTTTAATGAACAAAATGATAGTTTCTATATATTTAGTCCTCTCATGATGTCCTAAGAAATCATGAAGAAGTTTGAAGATGGAGCAACAAAACTAGACACAAATGGAGTTGTTTCTAGATAGTAGAGACCTTTAGATTCATGTTCTACACCAACCAATCAATTAACCTATATCACATTCCTATGTAACAAAAGAACCAAATGTTACATAACAAGTTAATGATCTTGTCAGTTCAATTAGAGAAACAAGATTGAAAGGATAATTATGTTTAAAAAGGACAAACATCAATTTATGAGAAAGAGAAAGAGAAAGAGAAAGAGAAAGAGAAAGAAAGACTTAACTAATTTCTTTGGAAGTAACCTTAGATCCGTTTACTAAGTAATAAGAATAGAAATTTAGGAAAAGGGAAGAAAGAAAATAGAGAATCATTAGAGAAAATGTGATCAGAAGCACCTGCGTTAAATTATTTATGGAGCTTGACTATACATAGATTGATAAATGCGTGCTATTGAAACAATAGGATCTAAAGATGTTTGGGCTTGACTGATGACTTTAAGCGAACCTAGTCCTAATATTCTTCTTCAGAAAACTTCTGCACAAATGTTTCTGGCTTGGAAATATATACATATTTTTCTGGAATACTATGCATGGAGTAGCAAATTTCCTGAGTATGACCCACTTGAGATAAATAAAAGAGAGAAAATATGTTTTAGAGAGCTTGAATCTTTCTCTCATAGGTTTTGTTATTTATATATGCAAAAACGAAAGATACAATCAATGAGAGAAAAGAGTGTAAGTAAAGGCATCTCTAGGTGCAGACAGGTACAATACTAAACAAATTTTTAGTAGAGTTTATATTCTATTACTACCCCTCAAGGTGGAACATACATATGTATGTACCAAGCTTGAAATATATAAATTGAATTTGAGATATTCTCAAAGATTTTGTTAACACACTTGCAAATTGATTATTGGATCCAACAAACTCATCCTTAGGCAACAACTTTACTCATATGAAATGACAACCATTCTCTATTTACTCATATGAATGACAGTCATTCTCTATGTATTTGGTTCTCTCATGGACCACATGATTGGAGGCAATGTGGAGAACTGCTTGATTATGGGTAGAATTTATACCTTTTCGAATAACAATAGATCAGCCAATCTCAGAAAATGAGACTGGATCCGGTATGGGAGATAGTGTCGGTGAAGGGTTAGGTATGACAATCCCAACCCTGTGGTCACCAGAGTAAAAGGAGGTCTTTGAAAAAGTCAGAAAAAACCGAAAGCTATAATCAGAAACAGAGAGCAAACTTGGAAGGGAACAAAAGGGTACACAAAAAAGATTTTTTATTATAAAGATATGATCTTAATATATGTAGTTATAACAGTATAAAAAGTTGAGGTGGAAAATGTGACTTTATTTTACTATAGAATATTATTTTGTTGAAAAATCTTTTCATTGTCTTCAGAGATATACCTTTCCGCCTTCTCGGCTGTGCAAGTCCTCAATCTTTATTTAATATTTTGATTTCTTATGTCACATCTCTAGCATTGTATTTGTATTGAGTCATGGGTCATGATCAAATTGCATTGTCCTTTGCCATTTGTCCAAATTACTATCATTAAAATATTTTCACCTAGAGCTCTAGAGGGTCTGCACGCTTTATATTTGTCTGTTCATAGCACTCCTGTCTCTGCTATTGTATTTTGAAAATGTCATGCAATTTATTTATGCTGAAAAGTTGTCTTGCAGCTATATCAACACATAGTTTTAAGTGGAGGGAGCACCATGTATCCGGGATTACCAAGCCGGTAGTTTGCCATTTCTCCTTTACCTTAGCTCTAATTGTGCTTAATCTTGTGTTGCTGAATTTTTTAGTTATTACTGTTAAATGCATGTTTGTATTTTATATTATGTGTCTCTATAGGAGCAATCCCAACCCTCAGTATGTTACTTACCTAAGTATATCAATTTGAAGTTATAGAATAAATTAGGCGTACAAAAGCATCACTATATAGGAGCAATCCCAACCCGTCCAGCACTTAACATAACAGTGATATTAGTGACAGTTAATGTCATATCTATGCCGACACATATTTGTAAATGCCTTTTGTCTATTTTGAGAATATTTACAGTGCCTCCTAGCACATTTTTCTTAGGCTGAAAGTACCTTCTTGAACTCTATATTGATCTTTTCAGAACTAATAACTGCCGATTCCTTTTCTTGTTAGTAAATTTGGTAAACTTTTCTATGCAGTAAAAATTGGACATATTGCAAGCTAGGTTATGTACCTAAGTACATCAATTTTAATTGATATGTTTTTTAAATAAATTGAGTGTACAAAAACATATCTGTATAGAGAATAATCCCAACAATGTTGATACCAAAATCTATACCTATCATTTGCAACACACCTAAAAATGCATTAAAATAAAAACCAAAGTAATACAAGTAAAGTGAGGAACTAGACTAAAGCTCAATTAAATGACTGACCTATCTGGCTCTAAAAGAATTCACACTAGTGCAAATGATTGGTAAGAAACAAAGTTATTTGATTATTAGTGAGTCCGAATGCAAGCCAATACAATTTAATTGATTGACTGTCCAAACAATCGATAATTATCCGAAGGAGATGCAAGATAATCGATTATCCACTTAGCATAATCCATTATTGTGAGTTTTTCAACTCAACCATAACACAAAATAATCGATTATTTAAGTATTATAATCAATTGAGTGAGAAAAATCCCACCTTATTTTGAAAACTCTATGACCAGCAGCAGCAAAAACTTCACAGTATTGAAATACAAAAAAACTGAGTGAAGCACAACTGGATGAACCGCTCCTAGTACGAATCTTAGAACAATTACAAAACCTAAGCATTCAATTTCGATTTCTTCTTGCTATTCTTGGATACAACTGGAGTGAAATCAGCCTCCACAACTTAATCCTCTCAAAACCTCAATATTTCTAAATGTTTAATCACAACGCCGAATGACTTTGCCCTTGAACTTCAGTACGAAGCAAGGAATCATCCACCACAATAACATTCCTATCAATTCCACATAACTTCCAAACTGTTAAGGTTCCAACATAAAACCAATTGGCAATATGTGGAGTAGCCTAACATGTATTTAAACCATACCAAATGACATGAGGTAGACGATGTGGGACTTTCAACACACCCCCTCCAACAAAGCATGCTGGACCAGGCAAAGGGTATTTTTGACCCAACTAAAGGGAAACTTTTGGCCCATGACAATTACCGGAAAAATGTTAGGCTTTGGTTCTGATACCATGTTAAGGTTTCAACATAAAACCAATTGGCTATATGTGGAGTAGCCTAACATGTATTTAAACCATACCAAATGACATGAGGTAGGCGATGTGGGACTTTCAACACAAACCATGCTCTCCCATCCAACCAATTCTCTGCATCAGGGTCTTGACCAGCGTTGTGAGCAACATTTGCCTCATCATCCTTTAGGTCACACCAAAGCCTTCCAACAATACCTAATTCTGAGTTCAAACCAGTATGTGCAGCATGGCCCTCATTGCTTTGCTCAACATCTATTTGTTCTATTCTATCCCCTTGTTCAGTACCAGCCACCTCCTCATGGCTAGAGAGTTGATTTGTTTGCTCACCTTTGTTTACTACTACTTCCTCCTGACTTTGTGCGTTTTCTGCAATATTATCCTAACCCACCTGAAGATTATGATCTTCAATATCTTATTTCTTTTTCTCAGGCAAATCATTAGCCTGCTGCTCATGAACCATTGATCCCATATTTTGTTTGTCTTAATTGATTTTCCCCGTATCAGCTCTTGCTGCATCTTCTCGGTTGTTGATCCCAATCTTTTGCATGACGCTTGATCATTCCCAATGACTTGGCAATGTGACAGAATGGTAGCACTGGAAGCTTTTCATATTCAATACCAACAAAAATGTAAAACCTTATCCACCAACGCTCTAGCAAAATAACCAAAGTGATGGCGTCATCCAGTACAATAGGGAGACCTATTCCACTGGCTATTGGAAATAGAATTTTAGGCATCCAATATTCTTGTAGAAATCCTATTATTCTGATCCAAACCTAAACATGTATTTGTTTTTGCTTGTAAGGATTGAAGTCAGTTGTCCATAGGGAAAATCTTACAACAATGTCCGTTTGGGAGAACCTTAAATTATTTTGGATGCCCTTCTTTATCAGTTTTTTTCTTTTTTAATCTGGCGTGCATGCATTCTGGTTTTATGATATACTTTTTTTCTTTATAATGTGTTTCAAAGTTAAAGTTGCTATATCTATATTCTTCCTCTGTCCCACTTTTCAGGTTGGAAAAAGAAATACTTGATCGTTATCTTGATGTTGTCCTGAAGGGGAACAGAGATGGATTGAAGGTAAGCTTAGGCTTCTTTTCATTTTTCATCTACGTATGTATCCAATGTAGCGTGTGTATTATTAAAGACACATTATTTTGTAATTAAAGCTTCTTATTAATTTAGAAACAACCCACAATTCATATTAGCTAATAGAGTTACTTATTGGAATGAGCTGTAGAATAAGGAAGAGAGAATTGTTATGTTGTTTGTTGAGTTAAATGTGCAGATATTGACCTGAAAAGAAGGAAAGGTTGTTTTTTTTTTTTTAATTAAATCTGGCTTTCTGGCTCCAATAATGACGTACCAGCCTTAAATTGTGAGATTCCCATCTCATGATTTAATTTTGATTGTAGCAAGACGTCCTCCTCCCTCTCAAACCGATGTGATGTCACTTGAAAATTAAAAAGAACTAAATCTTAAGCATTCGTGTTGTCCCTCCATAAATGACAGTAACAGGCAAACATTTGTAAGTTAAGGAAATACGGGATGCTTTAAAAGAGAAAGAGAACAGCATGTGATGTGTGAAAGTTTAAAATCATGATTTGGGCCAACTTATTGTTCCCTTATTCTCATCTTTTCTGTTCTCATGGTGATCAGAAATTACGACTAAGAATAGAGGATCCACCGCGTAGGAAGCACATGGTGTACCTTGGAGGTGCAGTCCTCGCAGGAATAATGAAGGTTTGAGTTAGCTGTCAATTTTTTGGTTTTTCTCTATGCATATGCTTATGTGTGAATGTAGATGTGATAGCTGTTGCCTTAATTTAAACCCAGGATGCACCAGAGTTTTGGATTAACAGGGAAGATTATCTAGAAGAAGGACTTGCTTGCCTAAGCAAGTGTGGCCAGGCATGACTTTGAGGTCTGTGATCGGTCTGAAAACGGGAAATCATTCTGGGAAGCAAAAGCATACCAGAGGCTGAGTGATGAATATTCAAAGCGGTTAAAACTGCCTTTCTAAAATAGCTTGCATTAATTGCTGTTGGCCTTGTATAGCTGTACCTATGGCTACTACAGGGCTAGTTGTGATTGTATATGCACTTACGTTTTCGTGATAGATACGACAAGAGAATTCTTGTATCTTATTTTTGTAACAAGAATTGTTGCAACTACGTGGCGTAATGTTGAACAAAGAATACATTGTAAATTTTGTAACTGTTCCATGTTCGTTTTACTTCGTTGAGAAAGCTTGTATTTACGGAAGACTTTACACATCTATGTTGGCAATAACCAACAAATGGATTTAATATTATCTAGATGTGGAAAATATTGGAAATTTGTGTGCATGACTTAGAGGAATACGTTTCACATCTGTCTTGAGTTTCTTTCTCATGAAATGTTTCTCAAAGTCTCGAGTGTAAATTTTGTCTTGAAAGTCGTAGTATGTGCATAATTTGTCTCCAAGAGTTTGTTTGGAATGACTTGGTTTTAAATTTTAAAAATTTAAACTAAGTTTTAGTTTCATGGTTTTTAGTTTAAAATTTTCCTGGTTTTCATTTCTCAAATTTTAATACGAAATTTTAAATTTAAATTACATAAATTACTGGACATGATGGGGTAAGAGTGACATATGGAGGAAATGGTGACAATAAGGAAAGTTGTGATAGTTAAAGTTAACGATGATTGGAGTGTAAATAATATTGACAATTATAATGATTAAAATTATGATTATGATGATTGATTAGTATATATTGATAGACTAAATGAGTAATTACATTTTTAAATTAGATCATTGTATGTGTGAGGTGTTATTAATTTAATATTTGAAAGAAGGAAAAAATTGGTTTAGTCATGGAATATGTAGCAATAATAGTGTTTTACAGGTGGTTACGGTAGGAAGGAGGCGATAATAGGGTGAATAGTATCAACTGTGACAACTAAAAGGTGAATAATTTTTTCTATAACTATAAAGAAATACTAAAATGAAAAGTTTTTAGTATTATAATTATATCAAAATTGAGTAAACGTAAGTTTAGTTACATTTTAGCTTAAGCATTTGATTTTGAATAGTACATTTAAAGTAAAAATTAAATTTGTCATTACTCCTAATTTACTAAAGTTTGCCACTTCATGATAGTTGATTTTATAATAAGAAATCAATTAAATATGAGATACAATGATATGTCAGCACGTTAAATATTGTTTGCCTCCTCAAATTTGCATCAAGTATTTTTTATCTCTAAATTTAAACTATTTAATAATAATAATAATAATAATAATAATAATAATAATAATAATAATAAAAAAAAAAAAAAAAAAATACAATTTATTTCTTCACCTTCTCTTTATTTTTCTCATTTTATCTTCATCTCTTCTTTTCTTCCTCAATTTCTTTTCCCTTCCTTTATTCCTCGTCAAGAATGATTGATACGATTTTGTATATTTTTTTTTGTTTTATTTTAGGGTTTAGGATTATGCTATAAATGTGTGAATATGATATTTGATTTTACCACAAAAATTATTTTAAAACATTATTCTTTAATTAACTTTTGAGAGTTTAAGATTGTGATAAACTTTATTTTTGAAACCACTAAATAATATTATGTCAAACAAATTTTTAAATGATGATGTTAATTGAGAACTAAAATAAGTCATTTCTAAATTAAAAAATTAAAAAAATAACTTTACTTATGGATTAAATTTGTTTAAAATAAATTTTAACTTACTAAAAAGATATTTTAAAACTTAGGGACTGAAAAAGTTTGAGAGAATTGGAAAGATATATAATCATGTTGACATTATATTCAAATCATCTTACCGTGAATGGTGTGGTCTCCCTTAGTTATTTCAATGATTCCATTAATATGATTGATATTTAGGGGATTTTTTTTTAAATTGAGAGATTAACTTTTTTTATAAGATTTACAATTCATCCAAAGTTTTAAGAGTTAAATTATCATGAAATTAGAAATTAAATAGTCATTAAAATCAAACAAGCATTTAAAAAGAGATAATGAGTTGATTTGTTCATCATAATTTATTATTTTTTTCATTGTCTAATGCCTCCGTCACCACACATGTCAACCTCGTGCTAGTTTGTGTTCGTTAAGCTATAATATTATCTAAAATTTGTTCAAAGTCTTATTGATTTTTCAGTAACTAAAGAAAGCAAGTTCAACTCTATAAGTTGAACAAGCTTTTTGAATATCAGATTTTTTTTTTTTTTTTTTTTTTTTTTTTTTATAAGCATCCTAAATATGACCAAAAACTTCAGAAATGTTACTTGAAATGTCACAAAAGTCTCCAACGTCCCCTCCAACTTTTCTAGACTTTCTAATCCAGGTTCTTCTTTTAGTATGGTTTCAATATCATTTTCACAATTATTGCCATAAGACTAGGAAACTGAAGAAAACTCAATTAGGATTGTTTGGATGCAGAGAAGATTACTATTTGAAGATGGTAACCAATATTTTTCTGTTTACATTCATTCCACAACAGGAAAAATCTAAGGTGTTTATGTTTTCTATAGGATAAGTGAAGTCAATTTATTTCCTTTATAATTATCAAATTATGAGTTAAGTAAAAGTTAAACCAAGTCTTTATCAAATTATGATTTAAGATTTTTCAAACGATTATGAATGTACTGTATTGGTGTGAATGATTTTGCTTCTTGACACAAGCAAAATTGATGTTCTCCGAGTCATAATAGATTTTATTGGTGTGTAGTTGATTGATATTAGGCATGTGTAACAAATGCTCCCAGTCATAATTTAACCGATAAAATTTATAAGAAAAAATTATATAAAATTGAAGCTTTAAATATTCTACTATAATACAAGGGATTACAAGGTTGACTTGTATGTAAATATTTGAAAAAAAAAGAAAAGAGAAAGATCGTGGGTTCAAATTCCCTGTTAATAAAAAAAAACCCACAAGAAAATATTTCATTCCAAAATTATTTTTAATTTAAAATTGATTTTGAAATAAAATAATTTAACATAAAAATTATTTAAGATTATTACTTCAACTTAAAATAGGTAATTATTTCTACAAAATATATATTTTAATATTATTTTTGGTTAAAAACACATGATAATGAAACACGATTATGTTACTCTTAAGTTCATTGCCACATGTGATGATTAAGGAAAGTAAGAACTAATTAAACAAAATATTAGGTTAGCAAATGTGGGATACCAACCACACCAAACAAGCCCATCTTTGTTCATCTTCTGACTTGGTTCTTTTGTCTTTGGTCTCTTTACCAGTGGCCTACCCTCACCCATACAGATCCACAAAGTACCCAAAAGGGAAAATTAATATGACAATCAAGTCTTTAAGACACCACGTATTTTAGTAGCTTGAACCGTTGTCTATGAACAACTAACTCTCACCTTCACATTATATTTATTTGTCCCAGTGCTATGTTTTGAACATCTAAGTACACCACAACTTTCTCTAAAGGAAACTCAGACCCTTATCATATTGTGTGAGGGACACCACAGGTATGAGAAACACAACATGTGTTCCTGATGATGCTTTCAACGCTGCATGCTCTAACCTGATATTTTGATCAGTTATTTTCACCTCACAGTAGTTCTTATAATACTTTGAATAACCCTCTAGAGTGATTCTGTTTCCATTCACTCAACACATGTTTCTATTTTTTGTAGGTTGATAAGTAGCTAGAAATGGAAATAGCTAATGAAAATGGTTTCCAGCTTAGTGTGAAGTTAAGTGAACCAACTCTCGTTCCTCCTGCTGAAGAAACAAAGAAGGGTTTGTATTTCCTATCTAACCTTGACCAGAACATTGCAGTTATTGTGAGAACTGTTTATTGCTTCAAAACTCCTGAGAGGGGGAATGAGAAGGCAGGGGAAGTGATCAAGAATGCATTGAAGAAGGTTCTTGTCCACTATTACCCTCTTGCTGGGAGACTTACTATAAGCTCAGAGGGAAAACTCATTGTGGATTGCACAGGGGAAGGTGCCTTGTTTGTAGAAGCTGAAGCAAACTGTTCAATGGAAGAGATTGGTGACATCACAAAACCAGACCCTGGGACTCTTGGTAAGCTGGTTTATGACATTCCTGGAGCAAAGAACATTCTTCAGATGCCTCCTCTGGTTGCTCAGGTAGTTTTGTGATTGTGTTCTGTATTTTGTTGTTAAAATCATTGAGGAGTTAGTTTGTTTTTGGATACATAACTTACAAGCAAATACTTAAGTTCAAAAAAGTTGAGACTGGGCTAGAGATATGCATCTAGAATTTATCAAGCTCTTGGTAAGAGTTATAACTGAAAAATACATGCCTCATAAAAGCTTAGCAACATTACATATTTTTGGGTAAACATATGGGATGCTAGTATTCCCTGACTAAAAAAATTGGTTTTGGTTAGTGAAATGTTCATCAAAACATTACGATTAAACTATATCTTATGATGCTAAGAATAGCCAACTTATCCATTATGCAAGTACTTGCTATTTCTGTGGGAAACTGTTAAATTTACATCCTATTCGTGGCCGATGGATGCAAAGGAAAAGAGAAATAGAAAATAGAGAGAAACTAGTAACTGTATGAAATGATAAGATAAAAAAAATGTAGATAAGGGTACGATAGGAGTGAGGAAAAAGAGAATCTCAAATAATAATACTAAAAATAATAATATTCCTTTTCAATACCATAACATCTCTTAATTATTCCTCTTTTTCCCCATACTCATGATAAGCATCTAATTCATTCTCACCAAGATTGAAAATGATTGAGGAGATGGGCTCTCAGTTTCCATAAAGTATTGCAGGTTTGAAATTGTCAACTCTTTATTACAGGTGACCAAGTTCAAATGTGGAGGCTTTGCTCTTGGGCTGTGCATGAATCACTGCATGTTTGATGGCATTGGTGCAATGGAGTTTGTGAACTCTTGGGGACAAGTGGCCAGAGACTTGCCACTCTCAATCCCTCCCGTGCTAGACAGAAGCATACTCAAGGCAAGAAACCCACCAAAGATAGAGCACCTGCATCAAGAATTTGCTGACATAGAAGACAAATCCAACACTAATAGTTTATATGAAGATGAGATGGTTTACAGATCCTTTTGTTTTGATCCTGAGAGACTAAAGCAACTGAAGATGAAAGCAATGGAAGATGGGGCTCTTGACATATGCACAACATTTGAAGTCCTCTCAGCATTTGTGTGGATTGCAAGAACCAAGGCACTGAAAATGCTGCCTGACCAACAAACAAAGCTACTTTTTGCTGTTGATGGAAGGGCCAAGTTCAACCCCTCCCTCCTGAAAGGGTACTTTGGGAATGGAATTGTGCTTACAAATTCCGTGTGCCAAGCTGGTGAGTTAACAGAAAAGCCTCTCTCCTTTGGTGTGAGACTCATTCAAGATGCAATCAAGATGGTCACAGACAGCTACATGAGATCAGCAATAGATTATTTTGAAGTGACAAGAGCAAGACCTTCTCTTGCTTGCACCCTTCTCATCACAACATGGTCTAGGCTTTCCTTTCACACCACTGATTTTGGATGGGGAGACCCTGTGCTGTCAGGGCCAGTGTCACTACCAGAGAAGGAAGTGATTTTGTTTCTTTCTCATGGTCAAGAGAGGAGAAACATCAATGTGCTTCTGGGCTTGCCTGCTCCGGTCATGAAGATCTTCCAAGATTTGATGCAGATTTAACTAGGAAATATATTATATGTGATTCTGATTCTGTTATTTTTTTATGCAAGCTTATATTATATTATGTGGCTTTTTCAAGAAAAAGACTACTTGTTATATTATGAATTTATTGGTGCTAATCAATAATAGAAGTCTTGTGTTGTGTTGGTAAGTTTAATTTATACATGGAAGTTCTGCAACATTGACTTGAGCTTTTTCGCAGTGAGATAAATAATCTAGATATGTATAATAATTGAAAATATTTCTCTATATATATTTACGTTGTCTTGTCTGTTATCTTTTTCTGTCAATGTGTAAAACTGACATTGTTTGCATGTCCTTATATGTAAATACATGGAATGTAACTTAAGATCACATGTCCAATAGTTCAACTCTGTACTATGTATAGAAAGAGAGATGGTGGGTCACGTGAAGGTTGATAGCATTATCCAGCTCTTATAAATGTTGAAAGTTTTTAAAGAATTTTGTTGAGATATTATGAAATTGTAGTGGTTGGTGGATGAAAAAAAAAAAAATACAAATACTACTGTATTATAGTCATTAATGATTTTTATGTGAGACTGAAGACTCATTCATATAATATATATGCTGCATTTATGAGATATAAAAAACATATCAAGAACAAAGCATTATTGCTGCTAGAATTTCTCTTATTGTTTATGTTATATTTTTTTGTGTTCTTTTTAGGACGAAGGTGTTAGGATAGTGAAGAACATTTGTAAATTTGTTTTTTTATAAAAAATTGCATGATTAAAAGTGTATGTTTGTTATTAATACGATGTGGAACTTAAAAAAAATATAAACTTTAACTAATGAAAAAAAAGGTATTAAAAGAATATATTCTTAACCTTTTGCATATCACAAAGTTTCGTCCAAATCATCAAATTTCTGCATCAAATACTCATTTTTTCCCCTCAAAATATCCTCTTTTGAATAAATGTTCACTCAAATGATTTATATGTCATATTATTTACATAAATGACTCGTCTTTATTTGTATAACAAAAAGTTTATCCATGAAGTGTTTCTTTTTTCAACGGAAATTTTGAACAACATTTTAAAGAGTACCTTGAGAAATTGGTTATTGAAAAACTGGTTTGTTAATAATATATATTTTTATTATTTTTATTTGATAAATCATTATTAACATAAGTGATGAAGAAGACTGCGTTTATGTCTTATAAGTAGGATATATTAATGTTCATAGGACAACGTTGTTAGAGAAAAAACAAAAAAATGTGAAAGATAAGTAAATTATGATATGTGTTGGTATATCCTTTAATAATTAATATATATATTATATATTGATTATTATTAGAATTATGTAATATATATTACATTAGTTAATGTATCAATTTATTTATAAAATTATTATCATATATCTTTTTATATTAATTTTGGTCAATTAATATTCTTTTACCAGAAGTAAAAATATGTTTTTGAATTAGTGTATATGTAATTTATTATATTATTTCAATTTTTTTTTCTTCAACAAGAAGATGAATTTTACCTTGAACAGTCGATCGACTAAAGTGTTAATTAAAGTCATATATGATGGCATCTATTGTTTGCTCCTTTCGAAGATAAAATTATATAAACTAAAATTCTAAAACGAATGATAAATCTGAAATAATAATAGACTTAATAATTTATCAAAGACATAAATTTCAGACATTCTTGTTCTTAATTACGAAGGAACCGAAACTAAGGGTTTGCTGGTAACAAATCCCTTAACCTCAAGTTTGAAGACGTGGACAGTGAAAAGGATCATAAAGTGTGTATTGTTTGTACTTGAATAGCAGAGTGCAGGTTTAATTGAGTGTGTGTAAGCTCTTGAAAGTTCATTCCTTGCGTACACCTTTTGCAGATAAGCATGTGGTGAGGCATGTTGGTATGTACATTTCACTGACCATTAGATACTTCAGCTTTTCAATTCTCTCTTCTTCATTTTTTGCCTCCACGCCATCAACATCGTAGAAGAACTGCCACGTTTTTCATTACTCTATTCTATTCTTTTGCATATTCAGCTGCCACTTTGCCAGTTAAGCTGCTTACTTCTCATCAGAAATGTTGCTACTGTTCATATATATTAAAAGAATATACTTTTAGATATAAAAACTGAAATTGTAACTATCAAAATCAGATGAGTAATTGAATCTTGTTAATATATTCAGTATAATTTGTTATGTTGTTTCCATTGATTTCAATAAAAGCCATTATTCCTTAACTATGCCAAAAATGTAATAATAATGGACTGAAAAGGTTAAAAGTATGTGTTTTGTTATTGTTCTTGGTTATCCTTTGTTGATTAGGTCCTTTGAGTTTGGTGGCAATGATCTTCCACAGTGGAGCTAATTAATAAGGACTAGAGGGACAATATTTGGTAATTAACTGACATATTCTTCGTACGGAATTCTGGAGTTAATGGCAAGTTGCATCATACCTGAGGGCCCGTGTATATATATATATATATATATATATAATGGACAAACAACAATTGCTGTAAGATATTGAGGCAAATCTTAAAAGTGATGGAGAACGATCTTACTAAAATTAGGAATTTTGTATTTAGTTGTCTATTAGCAGTTATCTAGTAGTAATTTGAAGCATATCTAATGATTGAGGAAGAAGAAAGTACACAATTTGATTCTTGAAAATTATTACTTTTGTTGCTTTGATCACTGAAAGTTCTGATCTAAACCAATTGGTCTATCTACAGGTATTAACTCTTCAGCAACTTGGCAACTTTAGTGGGGAGAAATTTATTAGTAAATAGACAACTTTAGGTCAATGAACCAAACCAGAAGTAACGTTTTTTGAGAACCTATATTCAATCCTTTGAAATTGATCCTGCACTGAAGATTTCCCCCATTTATATTGATATATGTCTTGTTTCTCCTTTCTCTTTTGCCAAAGTGTTTATCTATATGGAAAATATAATATGCATATAACAATAACTAGTTTATTCATATTGTTGCTTTCTTGAACAACTTGCTTGCTCTGTACAATATCAGGAGGGAGAAATTATGTACATCTACTAGTACATTTTTAACAAAACCTACTCAACTGCATAAGCAAAAAGGAATTATCTCTCACACCCAAACTCCACTTGCATCGTACTTTCTCTAACAAAGCATACACTATTACCAAACAAATAATGCAGTAAAACAATGAGACAAGAGATCTATGCCCTTAATGGGCTGCAAAAAGAGAACATGAGTTTTTTTCTTTTTTCATTTTATTTTCTTGGAATTTGTATGTATACACAAGTGACCAAGAACTAGGCATACTTGTGTAAGCTTCTTCTTTTAATTACCACATAAGGTGATGTCCCTCTTGGATGGTCTGAAAGTCAAAGCATTGAAGCTGTATATGCAGAGGTTGGCTTTTCTTGCTTTGATTGCTATCACATTAGAAGTGGTTCTGTAGCCAGGAACATTGCAAGCAGAGGATGTACTACCTAATAAGCTTGCTTGGCATGAGGACACAACTGCTGAGTCTTCTGCACATTTCACTCCATCCACTGAAGGGATTTCCAGCTTGTACATCCCATATTTGTTGGTAGTTCTGTTTACTGAAAGTGAAATCTGTTCAGCAGTTTTCTCTGAGAGTGCTTTGAACATGCAGTCAACTTTGACCTCAGCACCTGCATGGACATGATTATAAAGAAAAAGAAAAAAAAGAAAAAGAGAATGTGTGTAAGATGCACTTGATTTGAACTCTTCTGTCTTAGGGAGAGGAGTTTTTCAAGACAAAAAGAAAACAATTGTTTCTTTCTTTAGTACCAATAAACATTTTTTTAAGTTCCTACATGTTTGATCTTTTAGAGACAATCCTTCATGGAGACGCTAAACACTATATATAAACACCACTTTTAAGGAAGATTCAAATCATAGTTTGCCACATTACAATAAACTAACCCGTTTTAGTACATTTAAACACTTGTTCACAGTGCCAACAAGCATATGCAGCTCAATGTTTCTACACAAGTTACATAACAATTTACAACACTAATGAAGCATTCTACTAAAGGTTTATTGAGAGTTCTCACCTGACAAGAAGTAGCTGTGTCTGGAAAAGCTGTTGTTGGAGCAGAAATCACAATAAACAAAACCCATCACACTGATTTGTGAGATGGGGAACCTGGTTTTCCCTGGAAGCTTGGGTCTTGCAGGCTCAACTTCCAAAAACTGAGTAAAAACGGGCAAAAGGAGCAAGAGGGTTAAGGGATTCATGACCAAGTTTGGGAAAAAAATGGAGGGAAGCGTCCGAATGGTGTCTTTATAATGAGCAGCAGCTAGAACTTTGCTTTGCTTTCAGAGCATAAGCATTTAGCTGCTGGTAGAAGATGATGAGTTTTGGCGTGTGGATAAAGAGGGGCAGTGGTTAGTGGAGAGCCAAGTCCAAGCAAAAAGATGGAAATAATTTTATGTTTTTTTCACTACAAACAAAGACATGTGAATGTTGTTTGGCAAGACATGGAGCTCATGAGTAGGAGAGAGAAGGGGTAGTAGATTCTTTTGTTGGGGAAGAACAAGTTAGCTTCAATCGGGGAATTTGAGAAATGGGGTTGCGTTTAAATAGAGATACCAGTTGGGAAAATGTCAAGGTAGGGCACATTAAAAAGGGTAATGTAGTAGTAATGATGTGCTATATGTTGTCCCGGTTTTCTCCTTACTTTCTTATAAATAAAATGATACTAACCATTCCATGTTAATAGGGGAATATAGTACTTAGAAAAGTGGTTCAGATTCTCTCACATGATATTTCTGTTCATTAAAAACCCAGTTCTTAATTAAAAACAGAAGAGACAAATTACATTATCATAAAGTTAGACATAAAATTTTAATGACAGATTTTATAATAAGCATATTAAGACATTCCATTTTTTAGTGCATGACACTAAACACGCAAAGGAGGTACCACACCGATTTCTAGTGTGTTCTGTGCATTTAAATCACTCACTCATTTATTGACTCCATTAAAATCAACACCCATACCTTGGTGAACATGTGACTATGGCTGACATGACATAAAAGGGTAAGGCATTAAAGAAAAAGCGAGAAACATTGGGGAGGGGAGGAGTAGCATTCATGTCGTTCATATGCATTTCAGAACAGAGAAAGGGTCATTTCAGAGATGGCATTAATAGGTGAAGTTGCTACTACTGGTCCCATTATAATAAAATTAAATCGTTACAGAGTACAAACCTTGAGTTTTGCAAATTGCAAACATATAACAGTGCTTCCCTTTTCTCTTTCCATAATAGTTCCATTTGCTTGATTAAATATTCAAAACTGAAATGGTGACCTAAAATATGACTAATTTTCCTGTGTATATAGTTAAAATAATAACCTCTGTAAGTTTGTATTTGCTCCAAATAATTGCTCAAGTTTTTCTCAGTGGGAAATCCTGATAAAGTGCTTTACCTCTCTTTTCAAGCATTTGAATCTTTGTGGTAAATTATTCCACATTTGGTATTCCTTGGGTGACAAGTGTGGTGTTGATGCTCTAGACACGATTAGAGATAAAACAATCCAAAGAAAGAAAGAAAGAAGTTTTGAAAGAAATTAAAACTAACTTTCTCACAGAAACAAAACAAAAAAAAGTGTTTAAACAATTAAGAAACAAGATGGTTTCTCATTTACAATTTGGTGTAGGTAGGTTTAATCACTCACTTTGTCCCTAAAGTGTGTATGCTTCCCTTCAATGGAACTCTTGTCAAGATTGTCTCAAGTCAAAGACGTAACATATGTCCGAAATGTTCAAGAATTTCAAAGAATAGAAAATTATAAGATAAAACTTAAAGAATGATAAAAACCAAATATAAAATGAAACAAAACCAAGAAAATGATCAAGAGTGGTACAAAGTTATAACGATTACGTGAAGGAAAAGTAAAACTCTTTTAACACTCTAGAAATGTAAGTAACTCCAACGATGTGTCAAAAGTTACAAAAAAGTTTTCAAAAGATCATACAACTATCTAATTCAAGGCACATGCACGAATAAAACAGACAATATGATCTTATTTTTGTGTATAATTCATCAATCCTCAAGGAATCTCATATCAAATGATTTTTTTTTTAACTTCGGATTCTTAATCTTCTACACTTTTTTTAGCTTACATTTTCCTAAGGATTTATCTCACGATTAACTTAAGATTCAAAAAATAAAATATTATAACACTTGTATTTATTGGACAATTAATCACAACTTCATCTTCCAAAACCTTCAAAGTTAATAGCAATTATAAAAACAAAGTAACTTGATTATAAGAAAAAGAAAAAAAGAATACATAAATAAGGAAAGGAAAAAAAACTTAAGAATGACCATCTTTGATCAAAGAAAGTAATTCAAGATAAAAGATTTGATTTTACTGCTACAACATTGGTTACTTTCTACCAATTTTCTTGTAAAAATTTATTTAAATTTATAAGAAACTTATTTCTTGTAATATTTAAAAAAAATGAAAAAATATTCTCATAAAATAGGAGAATTTTTACTAGTGTTTCTATAATTTATCTAATAAAAACTACCAACAAAATCATGAACCCTCACTTTTTTTTAATTTAAGTCCAATACAAACTCATACTAAAGAAAGTAGAAGAAATAAACTCAAGATCAAATATAGATCAAAACAAAAAAGCACACCAAACTTTAGTAATTAATGAATTAATCACAACACAACATTAGAGATAGTAATTTTCAACAAAAACCTAAAACTCAACAAATTTTAATACTTATTTGAACACTAATATTCTTGTTGCTTGAAAGTGATCTTACTTTGATGATTATGTGATAAAACTTATTTTGGGTGAAGGAGATTTGGATTTTTCCTTTATAAACAGCCTATCGATCAAATTCTCAAAATTGGTTTAGTTAGAATGTCCTAAGCTTGGTCAAAAACTTCAACCCTTGATTAATCCCAAGATTTTGGATGATTATTTGAAACTTGCTCAAGCTCTGATCTTCTTTGGGTGGAAGGCTTCAAATGTGTTTAACTATATTTTTTTTATCAAAGCTCTAAATAAGAAATTTGCTCAAGACATTAATGTTTGCTCTAAATAACATATGGGTTATTATAAACAAAAGTATTTTCTATTTTCTGAAATTTCTTTTTTTATCTTTTATCTTCAATTCCGATCAATCCCTCTTCTAAGTCTTATTGAAGTAAGAATTGGATTCACATTATGTACATAATTAATTTAGAAATTGAGATATACTACATCATAATTTTTTTTTAAAATTGGTTATATCCACAATGTAGAAAATAAGACATATATTATATGATTATGGCCAATCAAATTTATTTTAATTTGCCTCCATTTTGTATACATAACAAAATATTGTGCTCCACATGAAGTCAAAACTCTCAAACTCAAAGTTTATATAAAACAAAATAAATAAATTATAAATGATTATTTAATAATTAGCATATCAAAATATCAAATTAAATCTTATTTTTATTCCTGCATGTGATCCCAATATGTTACCAAAATAAAAACTTTTGATCAAGTCAAGAACATTGAATAACTTAAACACATATGTCTATCCGGACTTTAACAATTGACATGGGGTTGTCAAACCCCCAAATATTGTAATTGTGTGTTTTCTCTAGTCTTCTTAGATGAATCAACCATTATCTTATTAAAAAAAAACATAAGTTGATATTAGAATTAAACATAATTAATTAAATATTAAAATGAAAATATAATAATAACATAGCTAATTAACTATTACAATAAAAAATATAACAATAATATAACATATTTATATTGTAAATAAGTTATAAGGTTCTCCTTATTTCTTCATTACGAACATTTTGAGTAGTTCTATATTATTCTTTTCATTTTTGTCATTTAAAATAAAGTTCTTTGAATTATGAATATAAAGAATTATTATTTGTTTCAGTATGGCAAAAAGAAGCATGACATAACAATATGTCAAACTTTCTTTCATGTGCATGCAATGTATGGTTCAATGCATCATTCACACTAACAAACATTACAAAAAACGTTTATGTCATACTGATTAACTAACATAATTTTACATTGGACACTCTATAACCCCAATGGAAATTTACTATACCTTTGAGCTTAATGGTGAAGGGTTGTTTGTCAAACAAACACAATACAATGAGTGAATCTAGAAAATAACCAATGCAGTGCGAGACACTACCGACAATAGTTATAGGTTTGTACTTTAATTTGGTACCTATCAACAAAAATAGAATGAATAATGAATGTTTTGGTGGTGCTAGTGTTGTTACTGGAACTAAACTTCATTGATAAAAATAAAAATTGAAATTGAAAAGAAATATCAATTTTATTGATTTCGACATGGCAATCGTCATAGACAATTTCAAAGAATTAGAGGAGTGAAATCTTGCGATTGTGAAGAGTTGGTAAAGTCTCATCCGCACAAATGTCTTTGATGAGAATGAATGAGAGTGAAAGAGAGAGTGACGAGAAAAAGGCATTGTCGAAAGCTCTAGCTTCCCAATAATATCTTGTAAGCTTTTTTGTAATCTTAGTTATATTAAGAGGATAATGATTCAACTCATATAACCAAGTTTTGATAAAAGTCATATATTGAGTTTAATATTAGCATAATGCAAGTCATATTTCTAAATTTAAAATCGGTTATTTAATTTCTAAACTTTACTAAGTAATATAAATGGGTTATAAATAACTTAAGTAAACAATTTGAGACTTCCCTTAAAGGATGTGAACGTTTAAAATTTGAGAATTTCTTTTTATTTTAATACGTTAATAATTTCTTTTTTTCTTTCTTTTAGTTAACTTAAAGATAATAGAAAAAAAAATTGAGCTAAACCGGCTAACGTAACCGAAATATACATATGCCGAATAATTCAATGGGATCTTAGTTATCAATTTTGAGTTATTTCTAACATAATTCAAATTAATACAAACATAGAAAATATAGAAAATAAAAACCAATATTTCTATTATTTAATATGTTAGTCCATAACATAAAGTGCAAGATAAGGATTAAGAATTAATAGAATCTATTTCGATCGAATATTCTAGATATATTTTATGAAAATTCTTTATTTCAAAAATATTATTTATTAAATTAGTATTTCAAGTAAATTTGAGTAAATATTAAGGAATTCTATATTTCTAAATAAATGTCTAATTATACATTAAAAGAATGGCCACTAGATTCGTTTTAGTTATATCAATTGTATATGAATAAATGGATTGTTTATTTCATTTCAGCAAAAACAAAAAAAAGAAAATTTTCTTTTTTGTTAGAGAAAGTCTGTATCTGTTTGCTTTAAGGAAAAAAAAGCAAAGAATCGACCATTCGAGTATTCAAAATTGTATGAAAAAAGAATAGAAGTAGGTACATAGAATATAAGTAAATATGTGGTCTATATCTGTGTATATTGAATTTTTAATCTATAGATAATAGAATCAGTTCTGATTCAAGCAAATAAATAAAGGTATTGAGTATAGATGAAATAAAATCAATAAAATAGGAGAAAGGCTTTTTTAATATTTAATATAATAATATGTATTTAATGAATTCGAAAGTTGCCGCAGAATTATCATAATAGAAATGAGAAAAAAAAAAGCATTCTAATGAGATTAAAAAAAAAAGATGGGGATATGGCGAAATTGGTAGACGCTACGGACTTAATTGGATTTAGGAGGTAGGATGACAATTGGTCAGATCTAGTATGAATCATATATAAAAATTATATTCCCAAGTTTAATTAAGTCAAAGACGTTTTATTTTGGGCCAACCAAATTAAATTATATGAAAACATACTTATTAAATTTATTTCTAAACTATAATAATGAATTATCTTGATAAAAAAATATAAAAACATCAACCAACCTAATTTATAAAAATAAATTATCCTAATAAATATTGAAAAATATATTAAAAAGTAAAATATTATATATTAACCATGTGGGTTTTACTTCAATGAAAGAGACATGTGGATGAAAAATATATTAAAAAGTAAAATATTATAAATAACAAATGACTGATGCATTTTAACTTCGATTATATATGAAATTTTGTTAAAAAGGTGAAATGATATTTTTAAATTATTTTTTAACGTTTAACAATGGTTT